ATTGATTAAAATTTAAACGTCAACATACCAATTTATAAACAGTTTATAAATTATTGAAATAAACAACATGAAACTAAAGGAATGGGTAAAATTCCATTTTCTCACTTCTCTTCACTATTATAAATAGTTACATTTTTGCTACAATAAACAATTCCTGGCTGGAACTCACAGTGCTCCAATGAAACAAACATTCGAAAAAATTATGTAAGATCCTTTCAATTAAAATTGCTGTAACTGTTTTTTAAATTAACCGAACGTGGTCTATTTGTAGTAGAATAATTTTCAATTAACTGTGACATTGCCGTTGCCCAGGTCACAATCTTTTTATTTGTGAACTTATTTGATCTGCTGTCGTTTTTTTTCCTATAATAAAAGGTCAATCTAAGGTTATCCGGCAATATAAATCGATTGTGTTTATTGTCCGTTGATGGAATACAAAAAAAGGCCGATTTGGTAAATTAATTGTCAACCCACAATTTGCCCTCCTTCGTTCATTTTGAAGCATCCATTTCCAATCCTTTTACTGACAAAACCAATTAATGTATACGGTTTTACAGTCAGTCCGCAAGATTTTTCTACACTAGATTTTTCACTAGCGCTCTATTACATTCTTCTTCATTACTTCCATCATCAACAGGTCCTTCTCTTCTGCATGTAGAATCTTCTTAAATAATAAAATTTCCTCCAACAGATTCATCTTCAATGGTTCTCATGAAGTTTTTTGAAGTTTCTATCATTAACAGGTCCTTCTCCCTTCTCTCTTCATATAGAATCTTCTTAAATAAGAGATTCATCTTTAATGGTTCAGAAGAGGTTTCTAAAAGAAACCGTCCGCTACTAGCGGCATTTCTCTTGTATTTCACAAACTCGAACTTGCGCCAAGCCTATTCTGGACTAATTTATTATTCTTAATGTGTTCCGAACCGGCTTAAAATTTAATGAATCGCGTAGTTAGACTTAATACCTTCCATAATAATCAGCGATGTGCGGCGGAAGGGTCAACAGGATGCTGTTTTAAATTTTTAGGTGAGGGCTTAACCCTCAGCCCTTCATGATAATTTCAAATGATTTTCCGAGTTCGGAGCGATGAAGGCGGCATTAATTGCGTGCCGTGTAACAGTTGATGTAATTTTAACGCGTTTTCCAGCTGCAAACTTTCTAAAGTCATGTTTAAATATAGAAAATTATGGAAATGTATCGAATTAATTAATGGCGGATCTGGCGTATACCTTCGTGTTGTCGATTGGTTGCGTTTCGATGATTTTAATACTAATAAATTTAATGTACATAATTTACCCGCGAAATATCGTACTGAATCTTTGGCAATCGTTTCGGCAATTTATCAGAGAAACTAGGTAGATATTTCAAAAAAAATTGGTTTGATTAAGAGGCTTTTATTATATTAATAATAATAATATTTCATTTTGATTTGCTGCCAATTTCTTTTCAGCTGGGTAAACAAACTTATAAACTACTCGAAAAAAAATCGGTTAATATTGCCAATAATTTTGAAAGAAGCGTTTGTATAAATAGTCACTCGCCAAAAAAAACTTATTTTTTTTAATAAATCCACGAAAATTTTATACAAATGAATAAAATAACAGTTAAATTACAAATTGCGATAATAATTTCTGAGAGACTTGAATTCAAATTTCATCTGATCTTCCACTTTTTATTGTAGCGTGCAGGAGTCTGAAATTGGGTGAGTAAATGTATTTAGTATGCACAAAGCGTAGTAATTTCCATAGATTCTACGGATTGTTCTAATTTGAATTCTGAGATTGACCGAGAGATATTTCATTCATTTTAAATTGTTTCGAATAATGACGACATCTAATATAATTTCAAACGCAGGGCATATCTGCTCTGTTGCTCATTATTTCTTGCCTTAATTCGTCTTCTTCTACAAATACAATCGGTGTTTTTAGAACAGTCTGTGTAGAAATTGCATTTGTGGAATAACAAACTATTAAATTCACTTTTGCATTCTTAACTTGTACAATTTTGAACTTGTATTGAATGGAATATAATTGTGTTTTAATTACAATAAGCTTAAAACTAAACTACTTAATTATCGGATTCTGATTATACCTATAAAGGTAAATGTAGGTACATAAAAATTATCTAATCATTTTAAAATTTTTGATTTACAAAGTTATCTAATATTTTAATTATTAGGCAAGGTTCGGATGGTGACATATTTTTACGAAAATTTATCTACAATTGTACTAGTAAATCACGGAAAATGATTTTAATTGACGATTTTATAGCTCTATATTTTTCTTTACTTTAATTGCTTGTAGTTTAAATTTTGATGCATGTTTCAGAAACTGTAGATCCTATTATCCTACGCTCGACACGACACGCACATAATTGGTTAGATAATTTATTAGATTTAAAAAAATTATAATTAGATTCTCCTTTGCTAAAAAAGAAGGCAAGTTTCTTTATTTCGGAACTTTAAATTTATATTGAACCTACCCAAAGGTTTGAAATTTATTAACATCAGTTGCTAGTTAACATGCTGATCTTTTGTAGAAAATGGCGTATTAAGTTTAAAATGTTATATAAATACGAAAAAAATTGGAATAATCGCTGTCTATCATTCACAATAGCGGATCTGTTCCGTTATAGTAAAATAAAACACTTCGATAAAGCCAGTCGGGAGATTTAAAAATAGACCTAAAAAAAATGACAATAATTAGATTACTACGCATTTTAAGCTGACCTGCAATGCATAAAGCGCTATCAATTAATAATGGTTACAGTTCAAAGTGCCACAATTTAGACGACTAGTTTTACTGATAAAGAGTCATTGCCTGCTTTAAACTAATTTCTACGAGTCTTTGTTTCCAGACGCGCATAATCTCGTAGACCCGGTGATAAATTTCAATTAATTATAATAGAACCTTTTAGGGAACGGATTATAATCCTACAAGATTTTCCTGCATTAAAATTTTTCATTGAAGTTAATGAAAATTTAAAACAACCGACAACAATGTTTGCTATTAAATATTGGAGCTTGCTTCCTAGTATAACGCAATTAATTCGGAATTTACAAAAAAATCAGATTAATTGTCTTTTAATTAGGTAACTAATACGTACGCAAATAGGTATTTAATGGACGTATCCTATAAAAAAATTGTTTACGTGCTCGTTACAGCAACATTACTACTCCATAGCCACTTAGAAAAAAATACATTAAGCGCGGTTATGAATTGGCTTTTTAAACGTGTTTTAGATAAGAAAATATTAATTTAGGCCAACGCGTTTCTGTCTGTTAAATCGCAGATGAAGTTGTTTTCGAATGTTTCTCGGTTTTTTTTATTTACTTTCATAGAACGTTTTATTTTTCGATAAGACCACATCAGGCAACTCCGATGGTTACGTTGATAACAGAGAACAATTGGACTTTCCTTGAAGTAGCGTTGAACTCTCTATAATAAACAGATAGATGCAAATGAAATTGTTGATTTTACAAAGTAAGCTAGATGTGAAATGTTCGATCTTGGCGTAGGCAGTGAGTCGAGCTCGCGAAGCAAGCGAGCTGGGGTCATTTAAATGAGGTTTATTGTCCCCTTAACGATCTCATAAGCGCGCCTGATGATAAAAGCTTTAAAATCCATGCCAAGGTTTTCATTATTTTTCATTTAAAATTGCACCAGTATTTTCTATTTCGCTTCATGTTAATACGCTTATTTACATCGAATTCAGCGAAACCGGTGAACCTTTCTATTTAAACATGTATTACGAGTATTTAAATGAGGATGTTGTGAAAAATAAACTATAAATTGTAAAACAATGTCCGCTAGTGGATAAATCGTTGGATTGAAATACGTTATGTGTTATGTAATGACCTTTTTTTAGAAATAACAGGAAAAAAATCGGTTTTAATAACGTGAAATAGTATTGGTATATAGAGGAAAATGATGTCCAGCGAGAGCTTTTCCATTCCAATGATGAATGTTGTGTTTAGAAAGCTATTATTATCTAAATTGCTATAGGTAATTTTTAGATAATAATTACTTTCTATTTTGTGAATTTACTCGTATAACGCTTCGATTTACCTATAAATTATTTTTACTACGACATAACATGCATTAGAAAGATTCTCAACGGTTAATAAATAATTTGAATGTATAATAAAAATGGACTTGCATTTTTTTACCATCCAAGCAATCGTAAGAATTCGGAAAATTTGGCAATCAAATAACAAACAAAGCAATTTGCTAGTTTCTACACGTGTCCACCTTTAAGAATTTTATACTACTAAAAAACTCATAACGTCGGTAATAAATGTTTCGTTAAAATGCGAATTTTATTAATAGCGCCATGCGGAAGCCTGGAAAGAAAGTGTATAATAAATGTGTATAAATTATAGTAAATTTTAACAATACTTATAAACTGGCGAGAATAAAAACGTCTGCACCTCGAGTCCTCATTTTTTTTTTTTATATACTAACTTCTATTTTCACGAAATAGTTATTTACATCTCCCAAAATAATATTTACTGTATCTATTAAAACGAGTTTAACTATACAATACTTTACAGTAAAACGGCTTATATTTTTAGAGAGAAAAATAAATAATGATATGAGCTAAATAGAAGATTTTTTTTTGTTCGATGCATTTTAAAATTAAATTCAATATCTCTCTCGTAAAATTACTGTGAGCAATTTCTGTTTTCCTTAGAGCTTACATCACGTAATTTAATAATAAAATTTTGTATTTAATGTTTTCCTGTAATTAACACCAAATTAAACCTTGGTGTTTTTCGAAAAATATGTATTTTAAACCCAAACCCATTGAAACACTTATGCAAAAGCAAACACGTTAAATTCAATATTGATTTTTATTAAACAAATATTATTGCTACCGCGCGATTTTTACGTAATTTACCCACTAATTAATAATACACATGTGCAATGTTCGTTAATTAATATTAATTAAAATACGAATGAAACGTGCACTGTTTTATTTCGTAGATATTATAAATTTATCAAAAAGCTAGCAAAAAAATAATTTCCTGTATGTTCTGCAGGCGCTGATAGTACAAAATGTATACCGGATGTAAACAATACAACGAAACCATAATTTATGAAGCTAAAGAGATATCAGGAATAATCGCTGGAACTTTAATCGAATAGATTTGGATTCAAAGAAGGATCAGTGTCGAATCAAAAAATAATAGATTATCAATTTATTAATCTTCAAAACGATTAAATTACCAATCTACCCATCATTTATTTTTCCGCATATAGAATAAATTTTGTACACATAAAAATAAATCCTGTCGCGCATTAATAGTAATCACCGGTGCTGAAAGCCGATCCAGTGGAAGGCACTTCGGCTTCGCTGTCGGAGACGAGTATATCGTCGTCGACCGTTTCGTACATCCTCCGGTTCTTCATCAGGTACACGGCCAAGCCCTTGACGGCGTCGGGGGGCCGCCTCCTGGCGATGTAGTTCAGCGCTTTCAGCAGGATGGGCACCAGGACCTCGTCGAGGTACTCCCTGGTCGGCAGGGAGCGCAACGTCGAGTAGGGTATCCTCGGGTATTCGAACTCCACCGGGGCTCTGAGGGCCTTGATGATTTTGCAGTACATGGCGTCGCCGACGAGCGTGCATTGCTCGCTGTTGATGCCCTTCGTGGGCTGGAGATCGAGCTCCTCGTCGGTATTATCGGCTAACATGTCTTGCTTCGGGCGGGTGAAAGTGATTAATGTCATTATATAAACGTCTGTTTGGTGGCTGCTTGCAGGGCCAGGTAAAGTCTAATGGCCTATTCTTGGGTAGAGCAGAAGGTTTTCTGATGTTACACCATTGGTTTGTATTTATGTAGCGTTTTGAAATAGGCATATCGAATTTTTTTTCCCGTTCTCTGTTTTATATGTTAATGAAAGTCGTCAATGCGAGAAAACGTTCGTTATAAAATGTAAATTCGGAATATTTATGTATTAATTTATCACTTGACTGGTAAAAGGCGTTTACAACTAAGGACAATATACGCACGTTAAGTTGTATATTGTGTTATTTACGTTCAAAACGTAAGGCATAGTGTCTTATATGCTCCATAAAAAAGCAATAAAAGCTTTATTTTTGGACCTTTGCTCTTCGGCTTTACGATCAAGTTGGGGGTTACTTAAGAAATTACATAAAGGTATTACAAGGAATAGATTTTAACGATGAAGGTCTGTCAAATAAATAAACCCGCCTGTTTGCCTTTTAATTTTTATTATTCAATTTACGTGTCTCTGTTTAATTTACATGCCTCTTTGACATCTCCAGTTCCTTCAACAAGGATCCTACAAATTTATTTTTGATACTTTTAAGTGGACTTGTTTACATTTAAAAGTATTCGTTTGATTTCTTGCCCGAATTTCAAATTAGGTAACTCAAAACACAAGCAGCATAAATTACACCACAAAGTGTTTTGCCGATTAACATTCAAGATACGTTTAGTAATCAATGCTTTATCATTTCCCTGTTCATTTTGTAAAACAAACATGTTATAGCGCGAGTATGCAAAGACACCATTTGAATTATTAGTGTAACTTAGAATACTTTGTTTACAATTTAAAAAGAACGTATTTTTTATGTTACTTGAAGTTTATTAAGCGAAGTAAATTGCTTTTATTTTTCCTGCTGCATCGACTACTTTCTTAGGCCGGCTTGTTTTTTTTCTGTATCGTAATGGCTAATTGTCGAACGAATTTCTCTCAGAACTCTTATTGTTTAGTTTATTATCTTCATTAAACTAACAATTAACTTTAGATTGCTCTTACGTCGAAGCAATTTAAACCGAAAGGTTTTGTAAAAATTCTAATAGCCATTTCGAACGGATAATAGAAAATTACTATGAAATTTTAATAAGACTATGCAGATTTAATGAGGTCAATAAAATAACTAGTCGAAGAAACGAATCCTTGAATCCTTGAAGGCGGTCTTCGTACCTCCTCCGATTTATCAAAAATGTTTTCGTAAACAATCAACCTTCATATGATTAACATTTGCGATTAAAAGGACCTCTTTTATTTTATTTGGGGCCTTTACTAATTGTATTATTTTTTAGTCAATGGTAACTCGCTGTACATAAAATTCAACGTTGGATTTTATAAAATTACTACGCAGTCTTTTAGCTCTTAAAATCAATTCATAAACAACTTTCAAAATTAATACCTTTCCAATGTTAATAAATCATGTTTAAATAACGCGCAATTGCTATTTTCCCTCTCTTAGATTATAACCTACAGTTTAATTCGTTTTGTGGCAATTAGATTTTTATATTTCTCGACGATTTTACAAGACATAATCTCCATGTAAATGAATAATACAAATCCTCAAACATTAATCAATAGGCGTATAAATGCGGCGAAAAATACAGCTTAAAATCGAATAATCTTCGGGATTAAAGAAGGATGTCCAACCTGAATCCGCCTAATGAATTATTAAAATTTCGAGCTCGAACAATGATGCAACAAGTTGACATGTCGACGCTGCGGCTTCGGCCGTGGATTGCATGCAAAACACCAGAAAAAGGAGCTTCATAAATAATTTATCGCTCGCCGAGCATATTTACTTGCAGTCGCACTTTCTGTATTAATTTGCTAATTCACCTTAATTTAAACTTTAATATATTAACCATTTAAGAGCTCTATTCGATTTGTGTATCGTTAAACATAAAAATTATGTGCACTAATGTGTACTGCTCCATATCCCCAGTTATTACAAATTACCTATATTACTTATTTACCCCCCAAGCATTTAACGTCTCGACTCGTTACACCTACTCATTTCTCGTCGATTTCTAATTTGCATCTCCCGAGACGTTGTAGGTAATGTGTCTTTACTGAAAAATCGCACTTGATAGATTAATATAAGTACGGCAAACGCGAATCCGAATGTTATAACACGTGTAAAATTCTTCCTGTTACCTCGACGTTCCGCCTAAGTAAACTCCTTTCGATTCATTAATTAGGCAAACAATAAATTTTGTACTTACAGCTCGACGATTACACGTTAAGTGTCGGTCCGCTCTCTTCTAGCATGCAGGAATCGCTGAATGGCAATGTGCAATTGAAAATTTATACTAATTTATTTGCTTAACTAGTAATCTGAAAAAAACGATAAATTTATGTTTGTGTGCTCAAGGAGATTATCTACATATAGAAGTTATTGTGTTATTATAAATAGTCGTAAATGTAATTGTGTAGATGTATATTGTGAATAACAATAACCTATAAATTCTCAGACATAACAGGCTGATTAACAAGATTTATAGAAAAATTGGCGCAGGGGGTTTAAAGTGGGTCGAATTTGCGACTGAGTTCCCTTAAAGAGTCCGTGACTTGACTCGATTTTAATAAGACAATTATTGCTGGAAAAGAAGAACTATTTAAAAATGAAACGCCCGGTAGAAGTATTTTACATTTATCATTGCATCAGTAGGCATATATTAATGAATCTCATTACGGTCCGCCGGCAATTTAGTATGAATTATCGCCGACTTGATTACGTTACTATTACGAAAAAAAAACCATTCGTTATTCAATGCGTTTCTCTGGCTTTAAATCAAAGCCTTCTGGCTGTAGACACTCCCTTTTAACGTTTATTATACTCCGTTAAATCTTCTTTTGAATTGAATCCACTCGCTGTAAATAATATCAAATAATCCCGTCCGTTTTAAATGTTCTGCTGGCATATAATTAGTGAACAAATTCTGAATATTAATGTTGAATTAAAAATTGCGAATGTACATTTCCAATCAATCGAGGTGTTGATGTATTTTTTAAATAATTTGTTATGTTTTTGGTTACAGAATCGCACCCTCTTCGTGGATGGGTTTTTGCAAAACAACCGTTTGGACCACGTTAGTCAAGTAATGGGATATCACAAAACATATTTGGACCACTTTTTAAAGACTCAAAACTTTATCCTTAGAGGAGATGGACCACTTCCTTATGATCACAGACATTATATCGCAATTATGGTGAGTAGACGTCAATTATTCAAATACAAATAGTTTAAAAAATATGCAAAGTGATCTTTAAACAAGATAGTATCATACGATTTTCTTAATTTACTGTATTCTTAAAATAGAGGCTTATTTTCTTTACAATTTTTGTAATCAAATCTTAAATGACTCAACCACGTGTATGCATAATACAGAAGAAGATAACAGAAATTTCGCAATCTATTATGGCTAAAGTTCCTTATAGATATAATATTTCACGTTACATTTCTGTATAGTATATCGAAAGCCGGTCGTACAAAAATCATAAATTGTTTTATAATTGCATCATTCTTACGCTGTTTACTTTATGGGTCTTGTTAATTTAATTTTAAGAGAATTATCGCGGTACTATCGCAGAACTGCAGCCAGTAATTTTAAAGCTGATATTTTAATGCGATTTTTCTTGGAAAGGTCAATCGAGATAATTTAAACAATATTCAAAGTACTCGTAAATGTTACAATAACATTATGACATTGAATTATTATAAGCCTCGATGTTTGCCATTTAACGGACGATTTTTTTTAATGAACTGGTCTGACTGACATTTTTGGAAATGTTGAAACGCATTCGTCGATTTATTCCGCACGATTAACTATCGATGATGGAATAAAAAGGAATAATATTAACGTTGGGTATTTAACGATTACAGGCTGCCGGCCGGCATCAATGTAGCTACCTGATAACTTTACAAAAGCAGGAATTCCTGATGCAACGAGGAAATCCCGAGTGGCTGAAGGGATTAGACCATATTCCTGCGAAACTGAGGAATCTCAACGATATCAACAAAATTCTTGCCCATAGACCTTGGTTGTTGAACAAATGCCACATTGAAGTAAGTACAGTCCATTTATTGTTGATAAAATGTAATTGTAGCTTCATTCATATTGAGCTCTTTTTACCCCCAAATGTGAAGTATTTAATTAGCAACTATCAGAAGTTTACGATTTGAAAAGTTTTACTCCAACATATAACGACTTCTCAGTTCCTTATAAATAATAAAGGGTTATCAGTCTTGTTCAAACACATCGAGCTTAATTTAATTACGGGCTCGACCATTCGATGAATGTTTTTTTAATACAATAATCGTTTTGAGGTCATCGTGACACCGCTTTATTATTTCTGCCGTAAACCTATTATGTTGTTGCTCGACGAAGGCATTACGAAAACTTTCTTTTCCGAATAAAAGGATCTATTGTAACCGAAAACGTTTCTTCGATTAATATGAAAATGAAGAAAGTTGAAATATCGGAATTTATTGTTGACAGACAGGCGATATTCGAATAAAGATAACGTTACTGCAAATTGTATTGAAGCAGGCGATAATTCAATTAACTCGACGAATTTACAATGTCCCAAATTAGTTGAATGTTTCCCTTCCAATTTCTCCTCTTCTAAGGTTTCGTTTCCGTTCTATTCCAGAAACTGACCAAGGGTAAGGATAGCTGGTCTTTAGCGGAGGTCGTCCACGCCATAGTGATCCTAGCCCACTTCCACTCGCTATCGAGCTTCGTATTCTCCTGCGGCTTGAACCAAGAGCTCGACCAGCTGGCGGGCTACCACCAATACGCCACCGAGACCGCTCTCGCCACCAAAACCAGCAGCAATAGCAAAACCAAGCCCAAAGACATACCCATCGTCGAACCCTGCGAAGGTAAGCCCTCCTGGTGGTGCTTCAACACCTCTAGGTGTACAAAAGAATATCTTATTAGAATGTCAAATTAATGCGGGAACTTTATAGTTCCAGAATGGAAGACGGCGTCGACGCCGCCGTCGCCGACCGAGCCGGAGGTGGGCATAAACACGCTGATGCAGCGCATGAAGACGCTGTCCGAGCAACGGCAGGAGTGCAAGCCCGAGGAGCTGGCGAAGCGGTTCGAGAACATCGAGACGCAATCGGCCGAAATCGGCGCCGTGGGCTCGGAGTCGCACACCGTCCCGTCGGCGGACATCGGCTGCTACGTGGAGGATCCCGGCTTTATGTACATAGATTTCGCCAAACGGGACGATACGCAGGATATCACTACGTTTAGAGTGCAGGATTATTCGTGGGACGACCACGGTTACTCGTTGGTAAACAGGTAAGGATCTTGTTAGACCTGCTTTTTCTCTTAAGCTTCGAGTACTCTGGAGAGTACCATAATTCTCTTGCTGCATCGCTATATTCCTCTCATTTCCAGACTGTACAACGACGTCGGTAATCTGCTCGACGATAAATTTAGGACTGCTTACAATCTAACTTACTATACGATGGGAAGTCGCACGGACGTGGACACGTCGAGGTTCCGCAGGGCCATCTGGTACTACATCCAGTGCCTGTTTGGTATCCGCCACGACGACTACGACTATGGGGAAATCAACGCTTTGCTCGAGCGGACGCTCAAAGCTTTCATCAAAAGCGCCACCTGCTATCCGGATAGGGTTACTAAGAAGGATTACGACAGGGTTCTCAGGGAATTCCATTATAGTGAAAAGGTACGGGAAAACAACACTAACTGTTTCGTCCTAGAATTAAATAATGATCTAATTGTCCAATAGTCCATTCATCATTTGGCTCTATGATTCAGTTATCTTTGGTTCAGTGGACTTTAAGTTCATTGGTCTAGTGGTTAACTAGTATACTAATATTGTCGTAGTAGATGTATCTTGTTCGACAACTTTAGTACAATGGTCTTTAATCTAATAGTCCAATGATCCAGTTATCTTTGGTTCAATAGTCTTTAAGTTCAATGGTCTAGTGGTTAACAAGCTCTCCAATTGGGTCCTAATATTATTGTCCTAATACCTTTAGCTTGTTCAATAACTTTAGTAAAATGGTCTTTAATCTAATATTCCATTGTTCATTGGGCCAATAATCTCAGTTATTGGTCCATTTGGGCGTGGTGCGGAGGTTTTAATGGGTGTTAAAGGTATTGTGGTTTGGTTGCAGGTCCATGTCAACCTGATGGTCCTTGAATCCAGGATGCAAGCGGAGCTGTTGTACGCTCTAAGGACTGTGAATCGCTACATGACAAACTAAAACGAATAGTGGCGAGATTGGTAAACTGTGGCGCCCGGACGAGTTGGGTCCTGTTGGGTCCACTGTATGCGGCTCGTTTCAACGAAAGTAATGGTAAAATATACCGGATGATGTAACATGAAGCAAAATAATGGTACAGAATAATTTGTTTTTTTATTATTATTGTTATATAAGCTACGTAATATTGAGTGTTGATTATTATACAAGACGTTTTACGTTTTCATGCGGTAAATTGTATTTTTCAGTGTTTAAGGTACCTAGGTTTTTTCAATTTGTTCGTTGTGTTAATAATTCTTTTTTTTATAATTTTAGTCTTTTTTTTTTCTACTGCAGGCTAGTTACGAAATCAGTAGAAAAGCGCATACGATGATAAGTTTAGCACGTGTAAATAACTTAAAACGATGAGAAATAGCGATTTCCCCAGTTGATGAGGTTGCCGAACGGAATTTTCCTTCAGTGTATTACATTAATCTACACTAAAAAAAATCTTTCTCGTAAAAATTTCAAAGAATTATCGAGGAAATTTCGTTTCTAATGCGCAGACTGCGGTAACGCCTATTGAGTTGTACAATATGTAAATAAATAGCATTAGGAGTGATCGCGAACTCGAATTTAATACGCCGAGTCCTCCTTATTCGTGTTGTATGCACGCGCAATTAGCACGAACGCGGGGCCTTTGCGTACTAAACGCGAGATCGTGATTACCCGTATTATATGTATAGTGGAAGTCTGTGCTCTCTGAAGAGGAACATATTTTTTTAGAGTCCGCTTGGATACGAAACTGTTTGCGAACGACTTCCGACTATCTAATGTGTACCTATCATTTTAAAACGTGACGTGGAAAGCGAAAGAAATCCTTCCATTTTTATTCATGTTAATCATTTTTAGACGGGCAGTGATTATACTTTCAAATGATTATTACGCCGATTTTTGCTGAACTCAAATCAAATGAATTTTCAATTGAGTACCTGCTGAGTTTTTGTTTCAAGTTCTATTGTTTTTAAATTTTACTTGTAATACAATTCCAGAAAAATTCAGGAAGTGTTAGTTTGTGAATAAGCCTGAGGAAGGTCGTTTAGACCGAAACTGGTTGTCATTTTGCTACTAATGAACTGCTTGAACATTGGAATTGTATTAATTTTAACTGAATTTTTCATGTAAAAGATCCTGCCGTGTAAAAATTCGACCATCAATAAAAAAATGGGTTAAATCAAAATGATGCACACGATTTTCGATAGTAATCTATCGGGATATAAAACACTACTGCGCTTTTTTTAACCCGAAAAATTGTAACAAATATATTAATATATACGTATAAATATATAAATATTAGAGAGAGTGATCGTCTCGTTAGCGATCGCAACAATATAGATTATATTTTTTCAATTTCATTACACGACTGATGTAAAAATCTTTAAAACCTTGTCATACATCAAATTATTTAAAAGAGAAAAAAATCGCAATTCTAAGAGAACTATTCACGAAACTGTTTACAAGTATTGAAACACTTTAAAAATTTGCGCCCTAGAACTTACGATTAATTTCAATTACAAACGAAAATTCGTTGTAATTTACCCCAAATTGTGTCTTGATCTCAGTATTAATTTTAATTGCTTTTTTAGAGTATAATTTCACTGCCATATAGTTTAGACTCATGCAATAGCGGAAACATATTTAATTCGAGTCAAGAAAATTCCAAAAGCAGGGTGTTTAATGAAATATCGAGTTTTTTTCATCACAGAGCTTCTCTTCCGACTTCATTGATACTTTTTATCGAAAACACCCTGTAGAATCAGAAAGTTTTTTGATGGAATTTATGTTAAAATTTCCCGCACATCGACTGAATTGTGTGCGAAAAGCGCACATATCATGTATTTTTAATTTTTTTTGAATTGTTCTCCGTTCTGTTTATTCGTTATTTGGACTTTCTCCGCTTCTTGCATATCTTCAATTCGCTGTAGAATGGAATTATTAGGTACATGACTCCAAAATATTCAAATACCTCATTGGCCATGGTACGTTTTAATTTTATATTATATTTTTTTGTGATTTTATTTTCCAAATAGTTCTCAGTAAAAATCAAAAATCTCGTAATTTTGTTCGACTTCGCACGTTAGAGTTATGTGTTTTGGGGAAATTATGCGGTTACGATTTCGATTAAATGTTCAAAATGTGTAACATTTTTTTATTTAACTGAAGGGTTAACGTCCAAGGAATATTTGTAAAAATTATTATTGTAATTTCCTCGAGCGACCGATCGGGATCATTCGAGCGAATTAGCGTTGTAATTTTGATTAGAGTGTGTTCAGGTTAACGAGGTGGTGACGTCACGATATGATTTGTTGAATACTCTATGTTAATATTTCGGGTTGTGATGTCATCGCCTCGTTAACGTAAACATGCTATACTTCAAACAGAATGCTGTGATTTAAATCATTGTGTATTTATTTGAAACAATATTTTTTTATACTGGTATGTTTTGTTTGCTTAAAAAATCAAATATTTTTAATTTAATTCCACTATAATTCTTTATCGCTGTATTTTATTATTCTAATTTTCGATGGGAAATTTCTATCAAAGCAGGTTCAAACGAAACACGCCCGTATTTGCCATTGTTGGCTGTTTTTCTCAAAAAACTTCGTTCGTTAACGTCGAAACTTGTTAGATTTTTTTTTAATTTCGTAATACAATCATATTTGATGGAAAAAAAGTACAAATTGTGATGAACTGAACGAATTGTGAAAGGATTTCATAACGGTTAATTGCGCAGAATACAAGTCATCCAATAATCGTTTCGATGTAAGTTTCTTTTATTCGAAAAAATGCGAGAATTTCTTTGGAAAAGTTCGATTTGTGCAGTAAAAAGCTCGCTACATTTTGAGAAAAGCTTCCTTTACAACTCCTGGAGGATTATATTTACTACAACCTTGATACACCAAGTTTTATTCCCATTTATTCTCTCAAATTTATAAAAAAAAATGTATGGAGTTTTTACTGTGAGCTAGATATACAGGGTGTTTCTAATCTGATGAGGTAAGGTTTGATGAAGAATCACGCGTCAATTTGGAAACACCCTGTATAAAAGCCATCCAGATCTTTCTTCCATCGTTTTGCGGGATAACAAATACACGATAGAACACATCGAAATGAAAGTTGTTATGAAATTCTCATATGGAGCCAAGTAATGTAGTGGGGACTTCTCCATTTGTGATATTTATCTGAATGTGATTACTGTGTAATAGATTTTTAGATTGTTTCAATTGAATACTTACGATAAGTTTTGTTGATGTTTAACCATAGACTTTTAGTGAGATGTTTTAATTCATTAATCCACTTCATATAAATATAGAAATTTCATGAAAATTTATTGTGTGATTTAACCTTAAGAACATTCCCGATTCTTTTACCAGCTCCGAAATAGCGCGTACTCCCGCCTTGTAACTAAAATTGGAAAAGAATGCGTGTAGTTAAGTATAGTATTTTCAATACACTGTAGACTTACGGAAGAATTTGGCCAGTTTTTTATCACTCGGTGATTTTTTCATCGCAATTATAACTTCCCCTATTTTTGTGCTGATCATTTTTGTCTGATTCGCAGACAAACTATCGAAAAGATTGTATTTCTTCCCGTTGTACCAGTAAAAAGGAAGGCTATTATTTTCCAAAGCGTTTTTGTAGGACTGCAAAACCTAAAATATTTAAAGGATTGGTAAAATTTGGTCTTTTATAAAATAAACAGACTGTTTTACCTCAATGAATACAACACTTAACGGTTGCTCCCAAAATCCTTCTGGTCTTGTTTCCAATTCCCACAATATCAAGTTTTTTAAGTAGAAACTAGCTATGCAATAGTGGTTGAATTTGTCCCTCATTTTCTAAAAAAAAGTATAATATTATATTTCAAATCGATACATTCAACAAAGAACAATCTCGGTTCTTAAATCGAAATTACTTATAACAACATTAGGATCGAATTTCAGGTCTTTTTGAATAAGGGATTACATCATGGTTCTCGTTTAAAACGTGATAATGACATAATGAATAAGCATTTCGTGCTCTACAACCGACATTTCAGCTAAATTTTCTCTGAATCTGTAGGATAAGCAAATGCTTATTAAATATACATCATCACAGCTGCTTGTATAGATTCGATTCGAGATTAAGTGGATTTATTTTTTTTAATAATCCAGTACCTTTTCAGAAATAGATAGAGGTAAATTAAGTACCTTTAAAAGTCTCAAAGCAGGCTTCAAGTTTCCACGATCCGCCAACAATTCTCTCTCCTGGTTCTGAAATGATAACTGCCAATACCTCGTTCCTATGTCACCTTTAACCGGTTTGGCCACAATAAACGTTTCTTCCTGATAAAAAAGAGTGGTTAAAAATTGGTTAATTGAAAAAAAAAACATACTTTTGTCGTCGGGTTGGCTCTGAATCCAAAATCGGGGAATTGCCAACCTTCGAACAGGAAAGCAGGAACGAAATCTACGTGCACTAAATTGTTGGTCTCGCTGTCGGTGTTTATCGCAAAAGTAAAGGCCGGGCCGTGTCTTCTAACGCTCATCTGAAAGGTTTTGATGGTAATTTTTACCACGACGTGTTTGATTTTTACCTTAAACTGCTGCTGACCTATGGTAATTGAGCACACCCGTTTTCTGTTGCTGCGCTTTCCTTTTAAGACTCTAGCCAAAGTTTGGTGGAACCAAAGCATCACTTTTTCGGTGTCCAAATAACCGTCTTTGTTCACCAAAACGTGAAATCCACTGCAATATTTAATTTCCATTATTGATTGAATGATGCAATCGTGGGTACACTTACGGTATTCCATAGTAAGGCTTCTGATTTCGACGGTTTTTCTTTTTATGACTAAAAATAATATAATAATAAGGTTAAATATCACTGTGCTATTAGGGTATGGCGAAAAGTTCTGGACCGGAATCATTTAGAACTGTCCAGAACAATCTAGAACGCTCCAGAATCATTTAGAACTGTGTAAAACCATTTAGAATGCTCCAGAATCATTTAGAACTCCCTAGAACTATTTAAAACTGCCTTGAACTAAAGATTTCGACTTATTAAGAAGCATAAGGTAATTTTTCAACTGAAAATCGGGAACTTTTAGGCCGAGAACTTATCGCCTTACCATTTTGTACTGTATCAGAAGTACTTACGGATTGGATTGTTTCTCGAATTTTAAATTGACCCAACCGGGCTGATCGCTGGGTACTAATTTGCATTTGAAATTGTGCAATTTGCATTGCACGTGCACGTCGTACTCGTCGGGCCGGCCCACTTTGAGCCTGTCCCAAAAGCTCCCGCCGAAAAACTTCTTTTGGAAGAGCTTGTTGAACAGTGCGTTCTGGACTCTCATTTTATCGATTATGTCATCTAAAAGCTGTGAATGGAAATTGTTGAATGATCAGAATGCTTACTGGAATAACCGGGTAATAGAAGAAACTGAAGTACTCATCAAAATTCCAGATGAATGGGTGGTAGAGAGACTTTTGTGAATAAGGTACAAGGTTTAATAAATGTGGTACAAATTGCGAGAAATCTTTTACCTTGTATAAAAAGTGGTTTTCTTGTACTTCCTCTATTGCTAAAGCTACAAAATTACTATTGATTAATTGCAGCATCGGCTCCATTTTTACGATATTTTCGTTAGTCATACTGGAGCTAAAAAAGTTATCCTTTATACATTGAATTAACACCTATAACTAGTAGTATTTAATATCCAAAATCTCTAAATGAAATGTATTATGTGACTAAAGTTTTATATAAAATAAAGTAATGAATTTATAATTTATAATTAATATATTCTATTACCTTCAAAGTCGCCACTTTTTGTTTCACAGAAAATCACTCAACAGGTAAAGTTCGAAATACCTTTAGAATTTTTCGAAATATAAAACTATTTTACTCATAAATTCTCACGGTAAAGTTATAGTATCTTACTATAGTATCTTATAAGTACCGAACGCTTCCACACCCAACTCTCGGTTCGATTGTTATATTGTTATTTTGAACTTGAACATTTCATCACTTCACTTCACTTGTTGATAAGTGATAAATTTGTCGTGTAGGGGATTTCCTGCGTCAGCGACACCATTTTACGATACTTGCACTCTCTGTTGATTAAACTGAAAAGCGCATTGAATATAAATACAGAATACAGACAAATCGAAATCTGCGACATCTGATAAAGAAAAAGTAAATTAAGCAACTAAATAACTAGAATAAACCGTGGAACAAGTATTTAAATTACAATCTGTAACTGTATACTTATTCATTATAGAGGGATATCAATGAAACGTTTGATGTATATTCTATAATAATTTATTATACAATTCAATGGACCTGTCCTGTGTCTTAAAATTATTATTATTATTACAATAAATGAACAGTCTTGTATTTACTTTAAACCTTAGCCTTAGAATATTACAACTAAAGAATGAGTAATTTTCCAGTGTCGGTTTTTCTTCAAAGCTGCGAAAACGCCGATAAATAAATTTCATAAAATAATATAAAGAATTAATAAGGCTAACGAGATATTATACAGGTATTACCCAATCATTATTTGCCAATACGAACGAACCTTCAATCATATAAATTTCTAGATTCACATTTACACGATCAAAAATCAGCATCCCTTACAAAGCTAATCATCCATCGCCATCCAAACCAGCCGTTCCGTTCGAATAATAATCTATCGCCGATCACCCGATTGCCCTCGTTTTCACCATAACACGGCCATCGCTATCACACGTGTTTCTTGGCATGCGCCAGCATCGTCGATCTCGAAACGAACGCCTTTCCGCACGTCTCGCAGGAATACGGCCGCTCGCCCGTGTGCAATCGCTTGTGGATCACCATCGGCGTGAATTGGGTGAACGTTTGCCCGCAAGTGTCGCAACTGAAACCCAGAAATTATATAGAAACTATGCTCGAAAGTCTCCGCTATATTTTAGCTATTGCTTTAGACCTACAGGTCATTGTGTAGACTAGGTCTTCAGTTCTTACAACTAGCTTCTTCTGAACTATTACACCATGTTTTAGAAGTCTTTACAGACCAAATACAGATAGGATTATACTCGGAGTATAGGTCATTGCTATTACGCCAAATTAACTTTCCCTTGGCGATGTAAAGTTCCTGAAAATCACGCATTTACCTGTAAGGTCTTTCTCCTGTATGGGACCTCCTGTGACACCGGAGGGCGTCCCGTCTGGCGAAGGCCTTGCCGCACATCTCGCACACGAACGACTTCTCGCCGGTGTGCATGGTGGAATGGATTTTGAGATCGACGCGCGTCAGGAATCCCTTGCCGCAGACCTCGCACATGAACGGCTTCTCGCCGGTGTGGATGCGCTGGTGCGTTTGCAAGTAGCTCTTCGACACGAACATTTTGTCGCACACGTCGCACGAGTACTTGCGATTGTCCAGGCCCGAGTGGACTCGCTTGTGCGCGCGGCAGAGACCTGAAAAAGAAACGCCGAATGTAAAATATATTCGATGCGGTATCGAGCGGTATATCGAATAGGTAGTCTGTGGATCGCCCTGTATAAATAGCGTGCGGGTTAGATTGGTCGGTCGGTGTTGGCGTTCTCAAATAGACGCGGAAGTGGCCGGCTTCGGTGTGGAACTCGATCTCGGCGGCTTTGACATTTTATTTTCGAAAAACGGGCGGAATATAATTCCTATTTGCAGTAAATTGTATCGCTTTTACGAACAACTGTGTATTTCACTCAACGGCGTCGGCTATTTATAAAATTTGGACCGTTTTATGTGTAGATCGCCGGAATTATGTGTATTCTTTTAGTGTGTTTTGTATATTAGAATTGCACGCTAATAAAATACAAGATTTCTATGTGTTACTGTTGGCTATCACTAATCGTAGGTATTTATGTTTTATGTACTGTTAGAGTGTTTTTATCTATTTTTTTTTCAGATTTTAATAGTATGTTTATAGTAAACACGTTAATATTAATAAACGTATTGGTTATACAAACGAATGGCATCCAAAAATGCGGTGGTATTACTTACGATAAGAAAAATTTCGCACTAATGACCATGAAGCAAGAAAAAAGTGCAAGATCAGCGGATTGTTCTAGACAAATAGAAGAGAAATACGACCACATTTTTAGCGCAGAAGCCAATATATGGATCATCGAAAAGAACAACCCTTGGTTGTATTTTAAATTGACGAGTATGAATAAAACGAAGTGGTATTGTACACCGATAATGAGGGAATTCTCTCCTATATGCCAGATTAAATACTACAACACTGACATCGATAATATCGCAGTATTCGAAAGCAGAATGTTAAAAACAAGTAAATTAAAAGGTAATCTATACAGGATGTTAATTAATTGAGTGCCGATACTTCAGGATGTGAATATTTGGATGATTTTAAGAAGAAAAGTTTATATCAATGTATATCCTAAACCTCTTAGTTTTAGAGCTACAGGGTGTTACAGTTTTAGAAAGAATAACTTTTCTATCATAATTTTCTTACTGCTTCAGATATTTTTATGAATCAATGAATCATAACTTTCAGTAATTGCCATTATCTTAGTAAATTGCTTTTTTTTTTAGATACAAATGACATCGATTACTCGAAATATTTAAAAACAGGATGCGACAATCAGGAAAAAATGGAAGATTACTTTCAAAAATGTTTAAATAATACATCAGCCAGTAAAACCGTAAACCCGACTAAAGCAGCAGAATCGCCATCAATTTTACCATCCCTAAATTTGGGAAACACTATCAGGAAAAATATTAATTCATTATTAACTGCTAATTTACTACTGTTATTATTTTACGCCAAATAAACCACTTTGCAATTCTTTTTCTCCTATAAACAGCCAATAAATAGCAAAAATTACTAGATATTACGTAAACTATTTCGGAAAAAAAGCAGATTACCCGAATAAAAACTTAGTAAAAGAATTAATCAAAATATTAACCTTTTGTAATAAATCCCCGGCCGCATATATCACAGATGTAAGGCTTCACGCCTAAATGCCTATTGGTATGATCCAGAAGGGATTGTTTAGTCTTGAAATTCTGTCCGCACGTTGTGCAAGGGTACGGTTTAACGTTGGAATGAACGCGTTGATGAACCATTAAGTAACTTCTACATTGAAAGCCCTTTCCGCATGTCGGACACGAAAAATCGTACTGCCCTAAAAATCAATCAACAAGTTACAGTTGCATCATCGTAGTGATATAACATATTGTTCACCTGTGTGTTTTGCTTCGTGTTGGGCCAGCCCTATTTTGGATCTAAAAGCTTTATCGCACGAGCCGCATTTGTAAGGTTTCTCCCCCGTGTGCTTTCGCATGTGCTCTACCAGTTTGTAGTTCGTTTTGTACATTTTCCCGCACTCTGTGCACATCTTTCCGCCCGAATGTTGCGATTTTTTCTCAGTACTTTCCACGGTTTCGGCATCGTTATTGGTCTGCTGCTGGTTCTCCTGCTCCTCTACAGCGTCTTCTTTGAACGTGTTAATGTCGTTATCGCTTTCTTCGCTGCCCCAATCGTCCGTTTCTTTCTTCAGTGGCGATTTACTATCCTGTAATATAAACGTTTTATAATACAGTTTATGAACAGTAGTAGTTCGGTATACCTTTTGATCGGCAAGACACGTCCTTCGATGCGCATTTAAGACGTCCAAACTAATGAAGAGGGATTTGCAACCGTCGCATTTATGAAAATGCTCCAAACAATGCACATCGAACGCCGCCTTGTGTTCGAAATTCCTGCTGCATACGTTGCAAAAGAAACAGTCCTCGGTCGCGTTGAGCACCAATAGAGAGTCGTTGCTGGTGCTGTTCAAGTCGAACATTTGCTTGTTGTCCATGGAAGCGTCCGGGGCGATGTCGTCGAGTCGCTTCTCCAACGGCAAGGAATTCATGCTGTTGCTGTTGCTGCTGCTGTCGTCGTGCCGGTACGTCTCCAAGTCGGGTTTGTGAGCGACTTCGTTCAACGAAAGGAGCTTGTTGCCGTCTTCGAATTCCAGCCGGCACATGTTGTGCTCGGCTAGTTTCACCTGGAGATCGAACCTGTGGTTGCTTTGGTTCGAAATGTCTTTGAACTGTAAAATCGAACGACTACATATAGAGGAATTTTGTATTTTCGGTTGTTCTTACGTCGTTAAGTAACGGTAATGTTGCGTTTTCGAGCTGCAAATCCTGCTGCAACCTGAACTGATCGGCGAGTAGTTGATGCTGGTGGATTAGGTTTAAATTTTCTTCGAATTTGGAACTTGAACTAGTTTGTTCCTGCGCGTTGAAAGTCTGATTGGAGAAATCGGGGTTGCCCAGGCTGTTTGTTACGATGCTTTCTAAGGACTGTGATTGAATATCGGGACCTAGGATTATTTCTTGCCCTTCGTTTTGCGAAAGCGAAGACAGCTCTATATCGGATACGTTTTGATTATTGAGTAAATGCTGAGGAACCATTATGACTTCGTTTCCATTGAGAGGAACTAAACATTGTTGGCCTGTTTGTATGCAAGTTGATAGCTGTTTGTATAATTCGACTAGTAATTTTTCCGTTCGAACAGAACGCTCTCGGAAATCACTGAACAGTTCTAATTTGTATAAACACGTTTCACAGATCATCTTAGGAAGCTCATCAGTTTCGTGTACCTAAAATGAATGTGTTAACTTTTGCCCTAATAAATTAACCTACAATTTACCTGCACAGGAAGACAAGTATCGATTTTTTGACGAATTGTACCTTCATCTTCGAATATATTAATCGCTAGAAACATTTCTATTTTGGAGGCGCAGAGCCTGCACAATTCCTCGTATTTGGAATTTTGCAAAATTGACATTTTTACCGAATATTTTATGAGGAATTCAGTTCGGCTGAATTACACACACGCTTACAATTTGTTTATAATTTTTTCATAGCGTTTCTCTTCGAAAGGAACACCTAAGGAATTGATAAATTTTTAACATCAACATCAACTCACATCGTTTATTTATTTCTTCTTCTTAAAACTTAATAAATTAGTTATGTCAAACGTCAATACGTCAATAATTCTGTCAAAATAAATTTTGATCTTTATCTTTGTGGATGTACAGCGTTAGTACCAACAAAATAATACAAAAATAACTAGACAAAGTCCATTTTATTTGAATTGAAAATTGAAACCATGGAAACAAAACAATGTACACATTTTATTGCTCCAGATATTTCTAAAATTTAATTTTAATTTTATTGCAAAAGCAGCTTTAGAACAACAATGGCAACTGCCGTTTTGGATAATTTTGATTTAAGCATCGAAAGTAGCGATTTGTCGAATTTGAAAGGAAGTAATTCAGATAATAAAATGGACAGAGCGCCCGATTTGAGTCGTTTATCCACACCAAAACCCATAATGCATCTGGGCTCTTCAACAGAGGTGAATAGTTTTCTATATTTCACGTACAAACATATAGGACTTGATTGTTTCTAGTTTATCCGTCAGCACAGCGCGATGCCTAGAACCCCCTTCAAGCCGGGTACCGGCTACAGGTCCAGCACCAGCTTCAAACCCACGACGAATTTCACAAAACCGGGTACCGGATTCAAGCCGGGCACGGGCTTCAGGCCCGGAACAGGCGCGGACGCGGTCAGCAGACCGATGACTGCCGTTAGAGGGGCCGGTTACACGTCCCACGGTAAACCGTTCGATCCGATGAACCAAGCCGCCTCCGTGCCCACCCCGCCGTTGGAATTGCAGAAGGACGATTCGTTAGTACCTTTAAACATGCACCTTAACGTTTTACTCGCACCTCTTCAATAGGTATAGATGTGTTTCGTCGACGGAATTGATTTTTGCATTCAAACGTTTGATTGTTTTCAATTTCAGTCCCGAAGAGAAGGTCAGGCAACAGGAATACAAGATCATACACTTGGTGGAGGAAGCTTGCATTGCCCAAAGCGATGGTGATTACAGGCAGGCTTTGACTAAAGCCAAAGAGGCTTCGAACAAGGAGCGAAATTTAATCAAGCTCCAGGAGCAGTCTGGTCTGGGGGATCATCATAACATCGATTTAACATACGCGGTTAGTTCTACATACCTCTATAAGTTTCTTTAATCGATTCTAAAATTGCTTTATTCGCAGGTTCTGTTTACATTAGCGAACCAATACGCAGCAAATGAACTCTACACCGAAGCTATCAATACGTACCAAATGATCACTAAAAATCGAATGTTCCCGAACGCTTACAGATTGAAGGTGAACATGGGGAATATTTATTTCAAGCAAAACCAGTACCAAATGGCCGTTAAAATGTTCAGAATGGCTTTGGATCAAGTACCATCTAGTCAAAAGAACTTGAGGTGGTTGTGTCTCCTAATTCTACTTCCTTACTAAATTCAATATTTATTGTAGAATAAGGATATTGCATAATATAGCGACGGTTTTCATTAGAATGGGTCAATGGGAAGAAGCCATCAGTAATTTAGAATACATTATGAGCGAACAAGCTTGCCATAAGGCCGGTTTGCACCTTATAGTTTGCTGCAGAGCTTTGGAAGATAAAGAAAAAATGAGAACGGCATTTTCCCTGCTACTATCAGTACCGTTGAATTTAGAAGATGAAGAAAAATATAATATAGAACAGGTAACAACTATCACACTGGGAAATAGATTAAAGTTTCCAAATTGCATTGTGTTTCAGGATTCCCCTGAAGATACATTGATAGCCCTAGCAATTCAGGACGATGACCTCCACAAATACGAATCCATGAAACGCAAAGAAGCTGAATATTGCATTCTTACAGCTGCTAAACTTATTGCACCTTTCATAGAAGAATCGTTTGGTGAAGGTACACTTGTATTTCACTTCTCTTAAGGCCTCAGATGTTTTGAATCGTTCTAATTTTCTATATTTCAGGTTACGATTGGTGCGTGTCCACCATAAAAAATTCCGAATACGCCAGATTGGCGACCGATCTTGAAATAAACAAGGCGGTTATGTTTCTCAAACAGAAGCAATTGCCTGAAGCTGTAGAAACGTTGAAAGCATTCGAAAAGGATTCCGTAATAGCTATTAATGCTGCGGTGAATTTGAGCTTCATTTATTATTTAGTATGAACTATAATATGTATGTGTAGTACTCATAATTAATTACATGTTTTTCTAGCAAGGTGATTACGAAAATGCTTTAAGATACGCCGAAATCGTTGAAAAACAAAACGCAAAAAGTCCTGAAGGATACGTTAATTACGGCGCATGTTTAATGGCGAAAGGCGATTTTAGCGGAGCAATCGGCTGTTTTCAGAAGGCTCTAAACTACGACCCCACGTTCTTCGAAGCCATTTTTAATTTAGGTATTAGTTTCAATTTCTTGTGCAGAAAGAAACGTTACAAATATAAAAATCCCCGCAGGTTTATGCCTAAAACGCCAGGGTCACTACATTGAGGCCCTGTCGTGTTTCCAACGATTCTCCGGCTCTTTGGCCCTTCTACCGGCAGTCGTGTATCAAGTAGCGAATATGCTGGAGTTGATTGGCGACAACGAGGCCGCCGCTGATACTTACCAGCAATTGCTCGGTTTGGTACCCACAGATGCTAAAGCCCTGCAAAAACTGGGCGAATTGTACGATCACGACGGCGACAAACAGCAAGCTCATCACTATCACAGCGACGTGAGTTTTGCATTTGGTTCTTCGAGATGCGCGTTACTAAGGGAGATTGTATAGTCTTACAGATACTATCCTGCGAATCTTTCGGTCATCGATTGGCTGGGTTCCTACTACATCGAACTGCAAGTAGTGGAAAAGGCGCTGGCCTATTTCGAAAAGGCAGCCATCATGCAACCCAACGAACCTAAATGGAATATGATGGTGGCCGGTTGCCATCGACGAAGCGGTAACATGCACAAAGCCTTGACAATCTATCAAGAAATTCACAGGTTTCTTGGCCTACACTTTGGGTTATTTTCGCAATATAATTAATTATTTTCCTAGGCAATTCCCGGAAAATTCGGAATGCTTGAGGTTCCTGGTTCGCTTATGCGGTGATCTCGGCATGAGAGAAGCTCAAGATTATTTATTGGAATTGAAGAAACTAGAAAAAACTAAGGAAGTTAGGGAACGAGTTAATAGTAGCAGACCAGGTAATATCTCGTAAAATTTAGTGAAAATAACAAATAATCTGATAAATACGCCTTAAGGAACTACTGATTTAGTTCCAATTTGACTTTGGTCTCAATTTAACATAGCTTAATAAAAACTTGAAAAGTATAGAAAATGAATATGAAATGTTTTTTAAGGATCGAGACGTACAAGCAGCGGATTATCATCGAGAGCAGGTTCTGGGTTCAGTCCAGTGCCTGAAAATGCGCCGCTTAAGACACCTCCGATGTCGGGTAATAGAAATTTGCGTTCCTCGAGGCTCATACAGTCCCATAACAGCGTGGGAAGTACCGATTCTGGATTTGCCCAGCCAACGATAATTGGTAATTTGTTACATTTTTATGGGAGGAGTTGATAAAAAATTGTATTTGCAGATGCTAGTTATTCAGATCCGTTGGGCCCCCAGCCGATCCGGCCGAGAACAGGCGCTGGTAAACAGCTCGATTTTGATGATTTTGGAAATGATGAAATTGGAGATGATCTCTTGCCTGAATAGGTAATATTTATTGCACAAGAGTGGCTTTTGTTTCCTGATGAATCAGACTTGTTTTGAGTTTTTTTTTTTAATTAAAACTAGTACATTTTTTATGCAAGTTCGTAGTTTTAGTTACACAGTATTTTTGTAAAAATAAGTCATTATTAAATATCTATTGAAACATATTTTTTCTTACCTTCCCACACAAAATCAACGACTTTAAAGCTTCAATTTTTTATTTAAGTATAAAATTTTTAATAATAGTTATAAAACAAGTATTTAGAAACATTCGAATAATTTATAATTTGTAATAATCAATTTTTACAATTAGCGGTACGACCAATTGATATGTTGTTTTTTTTTAAATTTTGGAATATCTAACTTACAATTTAGTAAAGTAGTCATTTCAATAAGCTTGTTTGTTATTTCAGTACAATAGGAGTTTACGATTTCAACTAGAACTAAAATTTGGTAAATAATATCAGCGCACCTTCTTCGATAAAATTTTTCAAATATAATAGAAGATACAATTTCAATACTTTTTTTAATAAACTCCTTGGCGAATAAATAATTTACTGACCACTTTTCATAACGAACCAAAAATAAATAAAAAATCGAGAAACAGTACAAACAATATCGATCACAAACATTTTAGAACTTACTATACAGCAGAGTAATAAATAAAAACTATTTTATAGAATAATATACACCAAATCCCAAATAAATTTGTTCACGGCTTAAAATATGTAATTTCCGCCCGTAAAAAATAACCATAGAAATATAGAAAAATATATCTGTGGGACAGTATAAGATCAGTTTTAATCATCAGACTAATAAGTCGTTTAGCCCTAATTTTGGAACAAAAGTGTTCCAGACGTAGCAAAAATAGGAAAGTAAATATAAAAGAAATATTAGAAAAAAAGTAATAAGCAAGAAAAACATTGACTTATTGGAGGCGCTCACTTTTCGCAAAGACTAGATTGTTGGCAAACAACAAAAATTAGAAATGAATTTAAGCCACAAATTAAGTTCATTTCTAACTTTTTTAGTAAAGTAATACTTAGCTTTTTTTAAGGTTCAGAATATCTTCCTAACACCATGGTTCTCAGCAATGGCCCCACTTCCTTTGGTTCCTGTAACACTTCCAATAGCATTTTCTCCACGTTTCTCATTATAGACACTTTCTGGTGATCTTGTAACGGATATTCTAGATTAGTAGGACCGGCCTGAAAGTATAATTAATAACAATTATAATTCCCATTTCATTAGCTCTTTAATAAACCTACTTTATACCAAAAATTAACAGTGATTGTAGGTCCACCTCTCATTAAAGATTCGACATGATGCCACCAATAAATAGGAATATACAGCACATCACCTGGACCAACAACAGTTTCACAGCCTTTCACGTTCTTAAATTTAGGGTATTTGGTGTAATCGGGACGATCAAAATCAATCTAAAATTGTAAATAGCATCAGCAAACAATAACCCAGCTATACAAGATCCTCACCATGCTTTGTCTATCATGCGGATGGTAAACCGGATGTGGATAGAGACATTCGAATTGATCCGGAGCGAATAAAATGCACCTTTTGTAACCGGCTATTTGAGCGAAAAGATTCTGCTGCTCATCGTAGTGACAGGGCGTGACGTTGCCCTCCATCGCTACGAACAGAACGTTCGAGGTCAATTCGCCCCAATGGTACTTGTTCTTCTTTTCCGTAACGAATTGCCAATTGAATTTTAAAAAGTCTTCTACGATAGTCGAGCCCATGCTTGAATTTAAGGACTCCTGAAGGTATAACCTGAAAACAATATTCCCAGTATGTACGATGGAACTACCTAATTAAATGTACCTCTCATCGCCTCGTTTCCATTCGTTCAGTTTCTTCGCGAAATCGGCTACTTTCATCTCCACTCGTTTCGTGGGAGGCGAGAATTCCACGCCCTTCGGGCTGGTTTTGCTGTAAATCTTTTTCTCGTCGAAGTATTTGAATTTGTGGTTCCTCGAGACGAACACTGTGTGGTTCGATTTGTCTAAATTCTTTTCCAAATAATCCAACGTCCATTTATCCACGGCCGATTTCACGAGGTTTGAGCCAGTTATCAGTACAGGTTGCTGAAAAAATAATAATAGTAATTTTTGAGTAATAGAAGCTAAGACACAGCTTCTTGAGATAAAAATTGCGAATGGGGAAAAACTGGGTAAATTGATTTTGTTTTTAAGAAAATAAGAGAAACAAAAGATATCCACAAAATTGACACATCAATAGAAATAATTGAAAAATTCCAATTGTAAAAAACAAATGACTAATGCACAGCAACACCTGATGGAAATAATTTGAATTGTTTCAATTTAATCTGTTACTGGGAAAATGCAAGAAATAAGAAAAAAAATTACGTTTTTTTGCATTAATTCATCCACTCTGGGATCATCGCAGTGCAATCTGGGGATTTCTTCTAAATTTAAATCGTATTTTCTGAACTGACTGGACTCCCATTCGGACTTTTCGGCACTCATTGCCACTCGATTTGCTTTAAATATTCGAAAGTTCTGAGTGTTTTTAAATCGCGGTTAACACAAAATCGGCGATCAATTTTTTTATAATTTATTACTCATTTCATAAAGCACAAGTAACACAAACACAAATCGCAATTTTCTTTACATTTTTGTTTGTTTAGGTTAGGATTCTTCTGTTTTATTCTCAGATGGCCTCTACCTTATTAAGGAACGACATCACTTTCTGGTTACAGCCAATTTTATGAGTATAAAAAAAACATAAATAATCCTTAAAATTTCTATTTTGTACACTTAATTACACAATTAGCTACAAGTTAATTGATTAAATTTTTACCATAAATACAAGTTTACTTTAATTCCCTAATAGTCTATTTATTTTTTTCAGCCAACTTAGAATTAACCATATCTTTGAATTGTCCCAATATAAGATTCTCCCTTTTCTGTCTCTCCTCTTTACTGAACATAGCCAAAGCTCTTTTCTCATCGGCCGAATAAATTTGGTTCTCCTTTCTAATACGCACAGCCTCCATTCTTCGATGCCTCGAACCAGACATGACATATCCCACGGACTCGTAAGTGGCTATTTCATCGGAAGTCAGTCCGATTTCACCTCTTCGAGGGATACGTTTCCCTTCGGCTACGTAAGCGGCCATTGCGGCACCTTCACCGGGAAGCAAGGCTTTGCCCATTTCTTTGTGAGTGAGCGTAGCATGAGACTTCTGCGAAGGGCCTATAACGGACTCTTCGTTGTCTGATGTTAGGTCTTGTTTAACTGTGGCTGGTTTTTCTACCCACACTTCAGTTTCGGAACCACTCTCACTATCACTGCAACTGGTGGATACTTTGCGTTTCTTTGCCTTTTTGCTCTTTTTCTTTTTGTCCTTTTTGCGTTTTTTCTCTTTCTTCACCTTCTTAGTTTTCAGTTTTCTCTTGTTTTTCTTCTCAATGTCCTTTTCTAGGTGTTTTTCGTCTTCGTCTACATCGCTTTCCGCTCGTTCTGGAGATTTTCCCCAAATGCCAGGGCACTCTCTCACACCCAAAACTTCCCTCTGTTGTCTCCGCGACTCCATGAAATCATTGTGCTGCGATGGATTTTTGTATTGACTCTTCATTTCGTTTTTATTTTCTATTTTATCGATACAACTTGTTTGTTATATTAATTCTTTAATACAAACATAACCTACAAACAAAGCTCACTGAAGTTAGTGATTTGTCAATTTTGACGTAACGCCCGGCACGTAGGCAACACAATTTACATCCTTTCCTTGCAATTGACTCGATTGACTGTCATTTCGTGGTGTTATTTTGAAAAACAAAATTTTGTATGTAGCGAATTTTGATAAATAAAATGGGTGCTTCAACGAGTTCTACAAGAAAATTAACTGTCGAAAACGAAGATCCAACTGGCGTCATACAATTGTCCGAAGAGGTCGTAAATCGCATCAAAGGAAGCAAAGGTAAGGTTATAGAGGTTACATAAACTTAAAATTGACATAAATCCTGTGTGTGAATAATTTGTTATTCATAGATAATTTGGGAACACGGGAAACATTGATTTATAATGGTGTGTTAGTTGGTAGGATTGTATAGAGCCGAAATTTTTGTACATAACCTCTGATTTTTTACTAGTGAAAAGTCCAGAAGTATTGCAAGGCAAAGCAGAGGAAGGGGGCCAGTTTCCTGTCTATTGGAATCCTGCTAGTCTAACTTCTCAACAAATTCAGGAAATCACTTCGGCCGAGTTGGAGAAAAATGACCAATACTGGCAGCAAAGGATTAAAAATATCGAAGAAAAACACAAAAAGTTAAATTTAGTCTTGGAAGAAGAATATAAAAAAGCAGTAAGTCTGCAATTCAATACCATTTCATTACTTTATTGCTTATAAAATTTCCTTTTTCAATGACATTGACAAATCAACTTGTTCAAACTGCAGGGGAACCCCAACAATGTTCTTGATATTACACTTTTATTTTAGGTAAAAGAATTTTCAGTCAAGAAAATCGACAGGAAATTACCACCATGCAAGGACACAGAACGGGCAGTTAAAGAGTGCTATTTGGAGAACCCACAGGAACCAATGAAATGTGCGAAAGTAGTTCAAGCCTTTCAAGAATGCGTCGATTCGAGAAGAAACGCTTTGTTGGCCAGTCGGGGATGAGATTTACTGAGAAAATGCTTTTAGATTGAACAATAGGAACTTACTTTATTTGTAAATATAATAAAAAGTTGTTATGTATTATGTTCTGATTTATTCTCTTGGTTTTAGATGTCCCTTTCGATACAGATCGAACTGTAATCTTCGTTGAAATTGTAAACAATAATTTAGAACTCTGAAGATAAGAAGATAAATCTTATGTGAATGTAATAATAAATTAAATCACTCTATAAACTAATATTTAATAACAAATTACAATATTTATTTTAATTTACTGACAGCTGGATAATTTAATGTTCCTCTTCGTAACCGTCAGGCAGAGCGTTGACATGGGGGTTGTGGAACAGCGATTTGTTCCCATCGCCCCAAGGGAAGCGTTTCGTACGGATTCTCAGGTGCTCGTACTTGATGAATTCGGGCCTTTCGTGGTGTCCAGACGTATGGGCCATGTAACAATTAACGGCGCAAAGAATAATCGACGGAAAGGCTACGAAGATGGTTAGATTCTTCCAAATTTTGTAACCACCTTCATGTTGTCCCGATACAGCAGAGGGGCCAATTTGTTGGGCGGAAGCCCTTTGGGCCGATGTTTGCATAAAACGACGAATGGTGTTGTTTAGCACGTAAGCCATTTTCAGGAGGTTTTTGATGTATCGAATTTGTCGAAATTATATAATTCACTCACGTAAATTTTGCTGCTTAGCAATAGAAAACTGTGACAAATGACATTAACTTTGACATATGTCATACACTCTATTTATTCCAGACATTAGCCAATCTTCTTTTATTCTTCTTGTTTCTTAATATTAATTATTTTGACAATTGACAATGATATAATAATTCTTGACAACCATTGACACTTGACAGTCTATTCGTTTGGAAACGTTTGAATAAAGTTTTAATAAACACAAACTAAAAGATTTGTTGAATTGCTCGTGGAGTAAAAATGTCTGGTAATGAGTCCTTTGACGAGCAAAGTGAAGATGGAGAATTACGCCAAAGTCCAATAGATTCGAAGCATATGCACGAGACGGAAACGATGGATTTCAGGTATGTCGTGTGCTCAATTCTTTTCCTATTTCAAATTTACGTTCTCCTACTATTTTATATATTTACTATTGTATATTTTAGTATATCTGAAGAAGAGGAAGGCGAAGCAATAGATTCTCTCGATATAAAACCACCTCAAGCTAAGATTGCATCTCAATCGAAAACTAAGAAAAGGGAGCACGAAAGGAGGAAACATTCAGATCGCCATAGAGAAGATCGGCATTCCCACCGAGATAAACACCACAGGTACAATATAAATCATTATTCAAAACACCAAACTTACTTAAACCCTACTTTCAGGGAAAAATCCAATAGGAGCATGAAAGATCGTGAACAGTATCAAAGAGATAAAGAAAGGTATTACAGGGAGAAACATTTCGAACAAGCAGCTTATGAAGCGCAGTATCGGGAAAGAAAAGACGAAAAACCGAGGAGCAGACATTCCGATCAGAGAAAGCACGAAGAGAAGAAGATGGTGAAGGAATCGAGGCATCGAGATTTGGAAAAACACGAACCGTACGAAGACCAGAGAAAATCCAAGGGTGACAAAGCTTTAAACGATTTAAGGGCGAGGTTACTCAGCAAAAGATCCACCAAAGGCGACGAAGGGCACGGTAAAGACAGGAATTCTAAGAGAGACCGAAAGCACAGAGAACACACCGATGATCCTTTACAAGGGGAGGCCGGAATGTTGGTTAAAGAAATAATAAATTTAACGACTGAGGAGAAGAAGAAGTTTCAAAAAGATGATGACTTCAAGATGTCCGAAGAGGAACGGGCTGAGACGGAGCAGAGAAAACAGAAATTTTTAGAAGCTGGTAAGTAGTAATTGTTTTGATAATACTATAATTTATATGTATGAAATAGTTCTTAAATGAAATTGTGATTTCAGCAAAGGAAATGTCGAGGCTGAAGGAACAGTCGAGGGCAGAACGAGAAAGGCGCCATCAAGAGAAGGCCACGAAAAGGAAACACGAAGACGATTCGTACGGCAAGCGACAAAAAGTAGAAGAAATCGCTGTGGTTGTATCGGATAATTCAGATGCAGAACAAGGAGAACTCTATCAAAATTCTTACGAGAGTGAACACAGTCCAGAGGAAGAAAACAGTCCTTCCCCAGCTAAAAGTGAACATTCCAGAGTCAGTTCTCAAACAGGAGGTATTTCAAAACTAAATATTTTAATGATTCAAACGTGTATTGATTTAGGGCTATGTAATTTTGAGTTTTACATGCGAATTTTTTGTTTAGAAGAAGAAAGTCCTTACTCAGAACGTCGATCGGGCACCCAGAGTAAAAGCAGAAGTCGAAGCAAGAGCAGAAGTGCCAGTGAAAGCGAAAGATCCAGATCTCAGTCTCCGAAAAGCGAAGAAAACGACGAAGAAATATTGGAAGAAGAGAAAGAAAAAGACGAGAAGGCTCCGGAAAGCCCGAAACCGAAAGTGGATGAAAGTTTACCTCCATATTATCCTGCTGTACAGGTATATTATTCAAATAGATCATATTAAATCATTTCATCATGAAACCGCTTCTTACGAGATATTAATTTAGTTGGATTTATTTGTAGGGTTGCAGATCGGTGGAAGAATTCCAATGCTTGAACAGAATCGAAGAAGGCACTTACGGTGTAGTTTACAGAGCCCGTGATAAAAGAACAGACGATATCGTCGCTTTGAAACGTCTGAAAATGGAAAAAGAAAAGGAAGGTTTTCCGATCACTTCGCTCAGAGAAATCAACACGCTTCTCAAAGGGCAACATCCCAACATTGTAACCGTACGAGAAATAGTCGTCGGTAGTAACATGGATAAAATTTTCATCGTAATGGACTACGTCGAGCACGATTTAAAATCGCTCATGGAGACAATGAGACACAAAAAGCAGCACTTCATGCCCGGCGAAATCAAATGTCTTCTCAGACAGCTACTGTTAGCCGTCCAGCATTTGCACGACAATTGGATTTTACACAGAGATCTGAAGACCTCTAATTTGTTGTTATCGCATAAAGGCATCCTCAAAGTAGGCGATTTCGGGCTAGCTAGGGAATACGGATCACCTCTGAAGCCTTACACTTCTATTGTTGTTACGTTGTGGTACCGAGCCCCGGAGTTGCTACTTTGTGCCAAGGAATATTCCACGCCAATCGATCTGTGGTCAGTCGGATGCATCTTCGCTGAATTAGTCCTGATGAAGGCTCTGTTTCCTGGCAACTCGGAAGTCGATCAGTTGAACAAGATATTCAAGGTAAGATTGGTAGCTGTTATGCAAATTTTACAGTTTTAATCGCCGTGTTCTTTCAAGGATTTGGGTACACCGAGCGAATCGGTATGGACCGGTTTCAACCAACTCCCGGCTGTGAAGAAAATGAAGTTCAACGACTACCCGGTGTCGAACCTTCGGGCGAAGTTCAGCAATCTGAGCGAGTGCGGTTTGGGATTGCTGCTGAAGTTTCTGACGTACGATCCCAAGAAGAGGGTCTCCGCCGAGGAGGCGATGAACCACGTGTATTTCAACGAGCCCCCGTTGCCCATCGATCCGGCCATGTTCCCTACGTGGCCGGCCAAAAGCGAATTGGGCCACAAACGCGCTTTGGCCGCCAGTCCTAAGCCGCCATCGGGCGGCGGGGAGTACAAGAAATTGGGCAAAGATGGGGATGATGACGGTTATGGATTCAGATTGGGCATGGGCGTGGATGCGAGAAGGAGCGGACCTGGATTTAGCTTGAAGTTTTAGTTTTAAAATCGATCAATATTTTTGTCCTAATATAATTTAATTAGTAGTTTCGTTTTTAATATCGAGTGCTAAACTTGCAGATGTACTTTTTAGAAGAATCGTCTTTTTTACATATCTCAAATGAGACGAATTTATAAATGAAATTTCTATAATGTAAATAAAGTTGATATAATATAGAAGTTGGAAGAATAAGGAATAAAGAAGAAAGGTGTCGAAAGAGAATCTAAAAATAATGACTTTTATTTTAAAATGTAAAATGTAATACTTAGTTCAATACTTAAAGATTAAAATACAAATAAATTAAGACAATACCGTGCCCCATGTGATAAGTACAAACACCGTAGACCACTGATGGCGGACATTTGGGTAATGATGCTTCGCTTTCTTCGATTTGCTGTCATTAAATTCTAAAATTATATTTGCTGTATTAGTACAAAAAATATGCAAAGTTTATGTACGAATTAGCTTTACCTTTTGCCTTTAAAACGCAATTCCAGCCTATCTCACCGTCAGCATGAAAACCGAAAATCGGAATATCGGGGAAAATTTTATTAAAAATCGTGGGTTCTTCATCGGCGGCGACTTTAGCCGAACAGCAAATCCTTATAACTACGCTGTGCATCCTCAAAAAGATACTTTCCTTAAACTGCAATGTAAAAACGCGCATTTGGCAGGATACGACGAGAAAATTCGAACTGTTTACCTTACAAATTTCGTCCGCAAACTCGTTTTTCGACAAATCGTCTCCGTAGATAATGTAAGAAAACGCATTGAAATCCGCTTCGACGTCTTTCTCCTTCAAGAAAACTATAGAAAAAATGTCGTTGTTTGAAAATACCCGCTTGGTCGAATTAATCTGCCTGAATGTTTTCGTTCCTCGAATGATTCCACCTCCAACAGCCACCGACGACGCCTCATTCCTAAAATAAACACCAAAAATTAACCCAACGCTACCAAGAAACTAACACACTTACTCCGGAATCAATTTCTTCAACAAATTGTACAAGGACTTCTTCTGATCGGTTGTAGAAAACATCAACAAACACTTAATTTCCTCGTTGGATTTGATATAAGTTTCGACAGTGCTTTGAATGTTGCTGCTATCGAATGTGTTGCAGTGAAACATGGTCGTTCGGATCTTCGGAATTTTCGGGAAAAACAAACCATCGAAATACGAAGCATGGTACAAATTTTTGGTGTTTGTATCGAACAATGATGTCACTTTGGCGCATGATATAACGCAGTAATCTGTGTTGTGTGGAATCAGTTCGTCCGTGAAATATTCTGGAACTGTTGAAGAATTAGTTACAATTCTAAAAAGTTGAAATATAAGTACCGGTTCTTCGTTTCAGCTCGGCAACATCGGTATGAACACAAATGTATTTGTTTAGTTTTATCCTTCTAAAGTCGTATAAAATAATACCCAGGTCAACATTATTGAAATTGAGATTAACACTGTGTTCGAATATGTTAGATTTGTTGTTAACGCCTCCTTTGAAACAAGTGAACCAACTCAATTGCACCCTTTTGGACAGAATGTTCTCGGCCACATCCTTCCATGATTTTTTTACTTTGCAACAATTTCTCAAGCTGTTGCAATCTAGATATTCGAATATGAGGTCCAGCAGAGGATAAACGGACTCGAGTGCTTCGGAAAAATCGAAATTTTCTTTACAATATACTTCTGGATCGATTGTAGGTCTCTTAATACTTTTTATACAGAAGCTTTTATTTTCCTAAAAGATATAAAATATTGTAAATAAGTAAATGGCAATTGTATATTTTATTTGCTTCGGTTTTTACCATATTAATAAAAAAGGTCATTTAAGAATTTACATTCTCGTAATTTTTCATTTGGGAGACCTTAAGTAAGGTTATAAACATTTTATTTGACATATAAGTGACATCTATCTAAAATCAAGTCATTGTGTGGCCTTTACTAACATATGTTTTTGGTTACCGCTTGAATATAACCTTACATTTTGACAGTTAATAAGCATAATATAAATAAATTTGTATTTGAAAAGTATAAGATATGTTAGAAGGAATGAATGATGAACGATTTCTTGTTAGTGGTTGGGAAGACGATTTAAATGACATCGACGTTTCGCGGAATCCTGAAGGTACTTTCGAACAAACAAGAACCTTATTCGAATCAATAACCCATTTTTTCAGAACTCTCAGAAAAAAACTTCATGCTTGCTTGCGAAAATGGCAATTTAGACCAAGTCACGCGTCTCATAGAAGAAAATCCGAAGTTAATCAACTCCACAGACAAGGATAAATACACACCTCTGCACAGAGCTTGCTATAGCAATCATGTTAACATTGTCGAGTATTTGTTGGAAAAAGGAGCTAATATCGCGGCGGAAACGGAAATGTCCTGGCAACCGTTACATTCTTGTTGCCAGTGGAACAATGTTAAATGCGCTGCGGCTCTAATTAGACATGGCGCTGATGTAAATGCTAAATCAGACGGAGGTAATAAACAATCCCAGAACTTGCGAAGTATTCTAAATTATACATTCAATACTACTAGAACCTGCAGGTTATTCAGCTCTATACAAGAAATAGAAAAATTACCCTATTGGTCTTTAGTCTACAGGTTATACAGCTAAAATCAAATGAGTGAATAATTGCAATGTTTTAGGACAAACTCCTCTACATATAGCCGCAACTCACGGAGCCTCCTATGAAATGGTCCAAATGCTACTAATGCATCCTTACATAGATCCTTATATTAAAAATGTCAATGGAGAAACCCCGAAAGACATAGCAACTAGGAGTTCTAGGTTTTATAATATACTTGAAATGGCCGACCCACTTCTTGATACGGAAAGTGCCGGGTAATTTACATAAAAAACAATTTGAATGATGCCACTATTAATAATTATTTTTTAGGAATTTGCATTAGATCGATACCTTAGAAGTTATTTGAGAATGTATTTTGTGATAAATAACTAATTAAATAACTATTCGCATTTCATTGTTTCTTATTTAATCTCTTTATTATTTTAATAAACTTTTTTCAACTCATAAATTTGCACTTTTTTTGAAGAAAATACTTTAAACGTAAACGATTCCATCGAATTTCTTGACATTCATTACACCTTCATTACCTTTTATTGCCTACTTAAACATTAACATTAAACTACTTGTATTTAATAGAAATGATGATATCCTGATAAAATCGCAATAGAACATAAAAAATAACTCTGAATTTAAATGCCCCCGTGATCGTTTAATTTGAGCATATTAATTATTCGGAATATTTTTATTTCTGCGGAACGATCGTGGAGTGCGGCGTTGGTTTAACAATTCCTGATTAAAGTTCGGAAAATGCTAAGTTACTCTATCCCGGATTTTCGTGCTCGAGAACTCGACGATTGTTTAAGTATCTCGGGTTCACAATTCACGATTCATTTATTCAATTACCGCGCCATAATGAAGCACTTCGTACAGTCGATGTTACGTACTCGCGAATCTAGGTGAACCGAGATTCAATAACTTCCTATTTAAATTCTCCCGAGACGAGGGTGAAAAACTCTAAAATTCAATTTTTGCTTGGGGATATTACACTTCAGAACGAGTCAACGAATGCAATTAAGTTTTTACCGTAATAATTCAAACTCTATGAAAATTGTTACATTGTACAGAAAATATATTTCTCCAAAAAATGAAGCAGAAATAATATTTTTCTTCAGTGGCTGAACCTGTATATTATATTATACAAAGGCTGAAATCATATGAGAAATCTTAGAACGGCAAAGAGCGCTCAATGTTATTACTAAGAAGATTAATTTTCCGTTTTTAATTTTTAAAATTCATATTTCCGAGAAAAGAAAAATCATTACACCTGGTGCTCGTTGAGCGCGTAGCCGCTCTGCAACTTTTCACTTTGCGAAATTGGCAAAGTGCTGGAGGAATTCATATTGTTGTTTGTTCAATTACGTGATACTTCCCCAACAAACTTTTCAATTCCAAATAGCCACACTTCGTTGATTTCTTGCATTTAATGAATAATCGAATGCAAGCACCCAATAATCTCGCAGAAAAAAATTACTAAAGCGTCGGTAAATTAAAATTGCATTTCCAATGTAATCTTGGATTCCTTTTACCACATCACTTTTCCGATGGAAATATTACTAGAAATAGGAAATATAGAAATTGACTCGACTGAAGTCAGGATGGTGATATACGTATAATACTTGTTACCTATGTAGGCGTTTGCAACACGGTGCTGAATTTTATTTTTACAGTGTCGTACTCAGCGCTTCCACTAGGTCCTGGAGAAACTCCTTGAGGAGGTAGAATAAAGTTCAGGAAGTATAACTAGCCTTAATCAATAATTAATGAGTAATTAAAAGTAAAGAAACGATACAAGTTACTTGATTAGAATGTTTCTTACATTTTGGGGTTGAAAATCACCCTTCCAAGCACCTTCTATCCTCCAGAAAATTGCTGTACATTCGGAGATAAAATATTCTAGTTAGAATTCCAATGGATATTTCAAAGCCCAGACAGTTTAATGTCGTTTTTGCTCGATTCAAGAAACTTTTCTCTTTTTTCCAAAGCGACGGCGATCGTCCATATGAAATCGAAAAGCCCCTGTCCGTCCCTGGATAATATTCTTTATTTCTGCTATTTCATCGAAAAGTTTTTCATCGATTCGACTTCAACGGCGAAATGTATTTGATATTTGAATAAACATATTGAGTTGAAGTCGAGTGGATGTCGGAGCCGAAACGCGAGAGTTTCTCCGGCATTTTATACACAAAACGTCGAAATAACTTTCTCGGTCAGTCGCGATTCGAGTTTTTTTTCGAATCGAAATACACCGGTGATTTTCGTTCGGCTGCCTCGAAAATTATTAATTCGAAAAATAATATTAATCAACAGCATACATATTATTGTCGATGTTTTTTATCAACTTTTTGTGTATTTAAAATCGGAATTACGGGGTAAATGATACAACAATGTTTGTTTCCATTAATTTACTGTTCTAAAAAAAAAACAACAACTGAAATCGATATTACATTGTGTAGAAATTGTAACGTGGCAAACACGTAAAAGTGAAATATAAAAAGCTAACACTAGCGAACAGTGTATTCGAAACTAATCGAGTTCAAAAGAACTATAAAAGTTTGGGCAAAACTATATGTAAGAGTAATAAATGTTAATATCGCGTTATACGGGGGGCAATTCTATTGCTAGGTATACAATAGGTATCAGTAGAATGTTACTAAGACGCAGTTTCTTGTAAAATCTAAAAATAATTTTACTACAATAAAACTGGTAGAAGTCTTTGGCTGATATACCTACTGATTGGTGATTTTTGTTAGTATCATTTAAAGTAAGCGAGTAAATGTTGGGTAAATAGGACACCCTTTGAGCATCTCCTGCAATTCTATATGTCCTACTTAGAAACCTGTCCGATCCTTATATATGAAAGCGGGACGAATCGTTTTTCCGGGCAAAAAATTGAGGCGTCACGGACAAAGCTGAAAATCAGCTCTCGGCGTGTTTTACTTTCCGTACTTAAATTTCAGTGAAACGGATAAGTTTTACAATAGCGTTTTCCTCCAGATAAAACTTCCAGGGGCTTATCTCGAATTAAAACCCTTACATAAGGACCCTTCGTCGAGTCCTCATCCTCCTCGCTCTGTAGTCTCTATTTGGATAATGTTGCGTCGCTCCGATTTTGCTCTAATTCAACTCGCCTCTTTGTACGTCTGTCGTCTTGCGAATTTTCTTATACAGGGCGCACCGATACTCCGGTATACCACTAAGGGTGTATATAATAATTAAGGGTAGATATAGATAAGCGCATTAGAGGGGTGGATTCTATAGGCGCCTTGAGATATTAAAAAAAATATTTTTATGCACGTTTCGCCTACGCGACGTGTATACGCCCGTATATTTCGTTGCTCGCCGTCCATATTCCGGTATAAACGAATTCCTGGTTATCACGCAATCCCATAATAAACACTCATACTAATGGCCGGCCAACGTCGCTACGTCTACCTGTCAAAAAATACAATTTGCATAAGTTAAGCTGTAAGAGCAAAACACACGTCTCTAGATCGCTATCCGTTGATTAAGGACCCATAAACCTAATGGCGGGGGCGCCGGCAAAAAAATTCCCATCAGGTACGCGTCAGCCGGCCGGATAGATAGATACAAATGATGTTGGAACAGATCGAATTTTCCACCTATACAGGGTCTTTGGATAATTAATCATTCAGATTTTTCCAAATCATTTAAATAACGCTGTTAACTTCTTTACACACTTGTGGGTTTAGGTAAGATTGTACACCTTTCTGCAAGACCCTGTATAAATTACCTCGAAGTATGCGGGATGACCCTGTAGATAAAAATCTTGCGAATGCTAATTTGGATGGAAAGTGCCGACTTAAAAATCCGGCGTTTCCTCCAGATTTATCCTTTTCCTTTTTCTATTGCGACCTTTGAGGAAAAAATAACCGCCCCCCGATGGGCGCCGGCGGCGTCGGCGTCGGCGGCGAATCCCATCGGGGCGACACGTACCGCCGAGTCAGCCGTCCTGCGGACCGCGCCGTGTCGGGGCGGGACGCCGTCGAAATATCTTTCCAGCGGATCTCCCGGAGAAAATTCACACATGCACGACAAATAATAATCCTTCAACCGTAAAATCGCGCGCTCGCATAAGAGCCAATTCGACTCAATTATGCCTGAATATATCGGACGGGATTTTTTTTTCTCGGCTTTCTCGAAAACGGAATTCCACTCGACACGTATTGTGCAGATTAAAATATGCTTAATGGACGGGTTTTTTTTTCTCTTCTTCTGCGCCGTGTGGTCGATATTTGAAATGAAAATGGGGTCGCTTCTTTTAATTTGATGTATGATGTATTATGTACGGGGTAGCCAGATTTCTTTATATGTATAGTTTAATAAAAAAAATCGAATACCTTGAGTAACAACTTGATACTAATGTAGAAAATCATTTTACTGGTCAATCTACTAAACGAAAATTAATTATTTAAACTGTTAAATAGAATTTTATGATTCAATAAAACCGGTATAATCGTTAAAAAATAACTGACAAAACTAGAAAATTAATTATCTTTTTAACTACCCGCAGGTACTATATATAAAAAGAAATCGATACATATTTAAACCGAAAAATATACTCAAAATGACGTCCAATTATAAAATAGTTTTATTATGTTTCTTATGCGCATATGATTCAAATGGTATTGTTACAAATACATAAGTATATCTATAAATTCTACTCTTGTCAATAAATCATCAATTTATTTACAAATACAACTTATTAAGCATTAAGCAGTGAATTATTCGAATGTTTCAGCTTCTTGCCCCACCATCATATCGAGGGGGGAATGGAAAGCAGCGACCCCCAGGCTAGCCCAGGTCTTTTCAATGCCTTCGGTTCCCTACGTGGTGCTCCACCATTCAGACACTCGCGGATGCAACACAACTACAGAATGCAAGGGGCTGGTGAAGAAATTGCAGGAGTATTACATGTCCCCCATGGGGCCGAGATTGAACGATATCAGTTTCAATTTTTTGGTAAGTTTTAATATAATAATAATTACAGTTTTTCCAACGTCTACTGAATAGGAGCATAATGTTTTATTGTATTCATATTTATTATTATTTATTTTTTCGTACTTTTGTACTGCCCTAATGTGAACAATAATAACGTAAATAAATTCAAAAATATGCCGATGGACAAATGAAAAATTTTAATTTCGAAAATCCGGCATTATTAATCCAACAAAAGACACAAAGGATTTATTTCTGCACAAAATCATGTTGCACGAACATTTTCGATTACAGTAGACACAACGGCATAAATGCGATTTCCGAGTGTATTGTTGTGGTTGATTACAATTATAAAAGCTAATAAAAGAAATGGTATCACGAACTTGTGGAAAGATGGAAACAGCCGTTAAAACGCCCGCGTAAGCTCGCGTATTGCCATAGAATTTTCGCACAAAAAAATGCTCGAGCATGCATCGTCTATTCCCTATAAAAGCCCTATCTTGTTTGCGTTGCTTTTGTGTAATTCGCTCTATCTCAATATTCCGTAGATAATTAATTGAAGGACTTTTTTAGTATTCTACAGTTACCTAATTGTAATTGATTTCAGATTGGAGGTGATGGCAATATTTACGAAGGCAGAGGTTGGAGACATAGAGGGGCTCATGTTAAAACATACAATTCAAGAAGTATAGGCATATGCTTAATAGGAACTTTTGAAAGTACGTAGGTATATAAAGTGTGTCCCAAATTAATCTCAAAAAATACCAAATCCCAGTATGATATTTCGACAAATTATCTATTATTTACCGTCGTCACCGGAGCATAAAATAATTTCTTCATAATATATAAGGTTGCCAATTACTCCGTTTTTATTCCAGAGGAAACCCCATCACTTAGGCAGACGCGGGCGTTGCAAAATCTGCTTAAATGCGGCGTGCAAACAAAGAAAATTGCTCCGGATTATCGCTTGATTGCCCACAAGCAGGCTAATTCCCGAAGAACTTGTCCCGGAAGAGCGCTGTTCGAATTGATCAAGAAGATGCCTCACTGGGATTCCACTCTCAAATGATATTAGCGCTTATAAGAAATGTGTTATTTAGAAATAAAAATACAGGGTGTAACAAAAAGGTGGGTAATAAAATTATACCACATAGTTTTACATACTAAACCAGTTATAACCTGTTTAAAGTGCTAAATGAAAAAAAATTCTATAATAACTCTAAAAAAATATTCGATGATTCTTGATGAAATTTGGCACGTTTAAAGAAAACAATACCTATAAGAGTTGAGAGAAAATTTTGTGCATAACAGTAGAGAGAAAATTTAATGCATAGAAGTAGAGAGAATGTTTTGTGCGTAAAAGTAGGGAGAAAATGTTGTTTATAAAAGTAGAGAGAAAATGTTCATAAAAGTAGAGAGAAGATTTTGCTCATAAAAGTAGGGAGAAAACATTCATAAAAGTAGAGAGAAAATAATCATCAGTAAGCAATTGTAGGTACCTACAACGTATGTATGTAATCAAGATCAGTTGGTAATTATTTTGCATGAGTTATTATGTTGTTGCAATATCATATTCGTGAAGATTCCTCGTTAAGACATTGATAGATAACTTCCGGGACCTCCAGCAACACGGCCAGTAACTAATAATCGAGAACGCCGGCATGCACGCTCGCCATCCTGACCGCATAAATCTCCTCCGAAATTACCTCTATACTGAACATTACATCCGGAAAATCTCAAGTCACACACCTCTTTTCCTCGGCAGGCGTCAGCCCGCCTAACGAATGGCTCAATTTAACGCGCCCGAGTCGAAAATCCAGAAAATACTACGTGCTATATGGCGCGGATCGCAAATTAAACCGCAGTCGGCTAATTAGTGTTGAAAAAACACGCGAGCCATCTTCGTTTCCTCCGGCCGCTCCGCCCGCAGGATCCGGACTCGCTTGTAAATACTCCGGCGGCGCCGTTTTAACGGATCGTCCTTCCAAACGAAACCTACCCAAAACGATACATTTTAATTCCATACGATTAAATCGGTCGAAAGCCTCCTTCAGAAATTAATACCAAAGACCTCGCTCGCCTCGCGAGCTCGTCGCATTACATACTTTAATAAGCAATCAATGATGGAATCATCCAATATTGATAGAATTTGATCTCTGTTTGGTCTATATTTCGTAATAACTTCGCAGTGTTTATTTTTTTATCACCCTTTATACTCACCTGTTATGGCAGCGCAGACAGTCGATAACGAATTCATAGATGCCAAAATGCAAGTCCATGGCAGGTAAACATAAAGACCCGGCCGAACTGAAGCGTAACCGTCAACAAGTCATCACGAGCGCGTAAATAATTGAGCGAAAAGTTGCGTTCCCATTAGTGGAAATAAATTCCAGCGTTCCGGGTTTGTGTTTATCCGGAATTGTTGGCGACCGGAGCGAAAAAATGGGTAATCATAACACTGGATGGCGTGATGAATGCAATGATGGAAAGATAGGGCTGCATAAACACTTGTGGATGCGGATAGGGCAGATGAACTCGTTGGCTTTAGTGGGCTCTTTTCATTGTAAAGCGGATAAGTGTAACAGAATGTGATGAGCTCGCGTTCGCCTAGGGCCTGGTTGAAAAATTACGATTAGGAGGTCTCGTTTGCTTCGCAAGCTTGATTTACAACAACCCTTTACAGTCCTTAATTCCTATATGAAATTTTACAAGTACTTTTTTTCAAATTATTTATTCATTTATTTCCTCAAATTCACAAGCGTGGATGCATCAGATGCATTGCTCAAATTTCAACCGCCGTTACGCCAGTCGTAATGTAATAGTTTCCTCTTGCCCTAGAATATAAAATGTGAATAATGCAAATTAACAATTTAATGTGCTTACGTTTCGTCCATTTCCTCTCCCAAGTATGTAGTATCGTTCGAGTCGCAGTTGCCGTTTTGATAGGCCTCGTAGCTCGTGCATTTCGTAAGTTTGTAAATTTTCGGTTCGAGTATCGATTTCACGTAGACCCTGTAGGCCTGGTAATGATTGCAAAACACTAAAATGGAACACATCAAAGGTACAAAAATGATTTCCAATAACGTTTGATGTTCATGTACATTTCGCGTACATAGACGTTCGCGCAAAATTGGAGGCCTTTGTAATGATTCAATAAGATAGGAATTGTATAATGTTTTCACTGGTTAATATAACATGGAATAATTATGCTAGTGTAAATAGTGTATATTCAATACGGCTGTGATAAACTGGACGATGAGGATGATTGGAAGTTCAATAATGAATTTTACCTTGTTCAGATACTGAAGTCGGATTTCTTTCTAAGATTTCCTTAAAACTACAACCAGGTTGGGAGGAACCGCCATTAAACCACACATCAACTTTACCACTGGGTATGTTGATACCGTTTACACCCGCATTGGTGTGCAAAACATCCACGAATTCTCCATCATCTGGTCCAATTCGCTGATCCTGTGATTGTAGAGAAAACCACGGTCCCGCCGGATCGAGTCCTACAAAAAAATCCTTGCATTATAAGGCAAAATCCTTGCCTGTATATTATAATTGTTATAATGAATATTTTTTTTTCAAATACCTGTAACTCGCCTCGCCTTGTTTTCCATATGCTTTCCGGTCAAACCGGCTACTTGCCCGCCGAGACTCATCCCGATGATGTGGAGACTTTTACGATCCATGCCCAACGAGACGAGATAGTCCAAGAATTTCGCTGAGTATTTTCCAATGGGCAACACGTTTAGAGCGGCTGTTAGGTAGTCAGGACCCGCCAGCAAGCGCTCGTTGTTGCCCAGGATAACGTTGAAATCGCCATATTTCAGATAACCTGCAGTCAATTTATATTGTTTAATAACATCAGAAATACTCTGAAGTTTCAAATATCCGACACATTTAATGTTTCTCTACTTACTGTCTCGTATTTGAATCGAGTTGTCCGACTTTGAGGACTCCAGAAATCCGTGGAAAAAAATTATAGTGGGTTTGGTGAAGTCGAAATTCGAAGAACGAATGGAGTTTTCATTTCCTGTTAGTAATATTTGCGGGTTCGTCGGGTTTTTTCTATAATAATAATAAATATTTTTCTTATAATAAAATTGCTTTAATCAACGAGTGCTATAAATAAATTGTAGGTTCATACAGCATCAGAATCAAATGCGTGTGGTTATTTTTAAATTTAAAAAAATACAAATTTTACCTGGTGTATAATTCAAATATGGTGTCTCTTTGTGGATCAAATTCGGGACACAATCTCCTGTTTATCGAATACAATTGATAGGTCCCGTTTTGTAATTGAAACTGGTAAGGGCCTACGGAAAAATAAAATTATTTTTTTCTATATTAGATAGCAGAGAACGTTGGCTCTGACTTATCTGAATTAGTTGATTTTGATTTACTTACCTGGAAGTGCGTAAAGAGCACAAAGGAGTGTTAAAATCATTTTATTATTACGAAAATTCTTAAGTTTCCAATAATAAATATTATTTTATTCGTTTGAAAGGTACTAAAAATTGATTGATTAATTCACCCTGATATCCAAATTTCTTTCACAATATGTTACCTAATTGTATTGAAAAATAACTTACCCTTGCACTAAATTGCACAGGTGTTGAACTCCAGTCTGCAACTAATTAAAGTCTGGGAAAAATTTGCAAAATATACTTTAAAAAACAAGGTTCAACCGCAAGTTAAATGGATGCCGATAAGATAGGTGGTAGCATATCTTAAGAAACAATAATAATTAAAATTAACCGACATTTTTAATTAGATATTAACAAATACATGCGCAATATATATTTCTATATTGTGTGAATAATTTTAAATTAGGTAATTACATAATAAATAAAGCAAAATTATTTAAAAAATTATCAAAAATTAACATATTGAAGTAATTAAAATTGAACAGTCTCCTAACGGGAATATTTTAAAGGTAAACTTCTACAAGGCTTTGAATAGAAAAATAGGTAATATAAATTCCTATAATTATAAAAATTAAATTTATCAATAATTAATTTGAAAAGAAAATTCGATATAAAAAATACACATAAAATTCTCTTACCGTCGACATCGGTTCAGAAATAAATAGGTAATGATATTTATTGGCCAAGGAAGTTTTATTGCAAAGTAACGATGTTAATAAATAATTACCTAAGTGCAGTAAATTGAAAATGTTTTTTTTTGCAATTTATTTATTAACCACGCGTGCTTTGACTCACCTATTTAATTTTTACAAAAAACACTAATTGGAAATAATGCATCTACTAATGACACTTTCAAAAAGTATGAAATAAATTTTAATACTTAAGTAATTCCTTTCATACTTTATGTGCACAAATTAAGTACCAATTTTAGTTTGTTAAAAACAATTATTATTGGTGACATATTTATAATTTATTCGACAATAGTAAGTAAAAACAAAAAAGGTTAATTAATTTTCATTTATAAGTCCTAGGGATTGTAATGGAACTAAGAGATAATTAATAAACCCGAAATAAGATTGAAGTTATTAAATTAAATAGTAGGTACCATAAAATTTAGTAACCGATCCAAATACACAAAAATATGATATTTTTGACTTTTGAAGGTTGGCGAATCCATGAACAAACTCAAAAAGGTTATTTTTAAATAATCAATGTTCACGCTTTTAAAAATATACGATAAGAAAATAATTCTATTTTGATTTGAATTTAGATACAGTTGATATCTACAATCGGATAATTTTCAGATAACACCGCACAATTTCAGCGCACAAATTGTGATGGAAAACTGGTTTAGTGCATTTACATACCTACACATACCTACGCTTTTCACAGGATAATTACCTACTGCAGAAAATGTTAAAGGAAATCTCTTACTATCTACCTAAAAGCGCATTTTTCTGAAGAGCAATTCTCCTACGCAGGGAATCATTTATTCACCCTATGGAATACTTAAAGAAATATAAGTAAGTCAATTATCTAAAGTTAGTCAATTATCTACCCAAGTGAGCTGATTACTATGTCTACTTATTCATAAGGACCGTGGCTAAAAGAGAATTTCCAAGAGATTTATATATCTAAAAGAGTAAGTATGTCATTTTTACTATTTAATAAGCCACTAATAGATACCAAAATGTCTTTCTATTACATAAATGCAAATTAGAAGTTATTTTTATAGTATTATAAAGTGCAACAGGTACACTTTTTTAACGAATTACTGGAACTCGATATAAACAACATTAATCCACTAATCATCCATAAGTTGTCCAATAAATAATCATCCATTACCTAACTACCGTTTCGTGTCAAATACGAACGTAAATTACGTGGAATAGAATAGTTGTCGTCGACGAGAATCACCCGGGCTCCAATGGCCGTGCGTGAAATATTATTATAATAAAATCCAATCGGTCTCGCGAGTCCATTTAGGTTATTAATTTTCAATATTTTTCGGGTCGCGCCTCCGAAGCTCGATTCGATTTATCGTCCGTACGTACACATTCGACTCACGATAGATTCGGTAATTTAATTACGGCGATGGGTGTATCATGATAGAATTCCACGATAATATCGCACTCGTCGGATGGGTTTTCAATAGGGATTTTCCATTCACGCAATCGCTTATATTTCGGTAGGTGTAATAATTCTACATGAACATATCCAATCGTCTACAATAGAGGTTATTTACGAGTTCTATATTCATCTCCGTTTTACTAAAAGAATAATCTCTGAATGCGTGAAATTCTGCGACAAACGCGAATATATCACCCTTTAAATACTAATTCAAATTAGCCGCACACACACATATACATAGTGAGTTAGTTAATTATCTTCTTCGTCTGTCGACGAATGGCCCCGTTTTGCCCTAATACACGGGAGTATACGTCTCAGTGGTAAATATTTTAATAATTTAAATGTTATTTATGACGAACAAGGGTCCGCCGGCCAAGTTTAATTAGAAGACCTTGTTCTGGTTTCGCGAACATTCGTTTCTATGATGCATTGTTTGACCACACTTATCTTCCGTCCCCGAAGGCGATGCGCCGCCTCCGAGGAAATCAAATATACGAGAATTTAGAGAAATAGCCATTTGGAAAATATTTTCTAATTTTCTAATGTGGAAAATTCTCATTCTGGGCAATACCGGGCGATCTGCGTCAAGGAGGATGTAAAACTAACTGTTCTGTATTGGACTTGTTAACGAATGAATGAAATATCCATAAGACTTACTATTGGGTTATTGGGTTTTGAAACGACGACAATATTATATCCTTAATCCAATTTTATGCAATCCTTGGAGTAATCGAGTATAGCTTTACCTCTCGAGTCCTTAAACAAAATCCAATCTTCTGCGAAATATCGCTTTAAACGTTATACTACCTCGCGTTTTCTTTGTGCTCGAACAAATATTTGAGTAATAATGAGAAATGCGCGCAAAGTCTCCCAGGACTCAATAAGAAAAATATTAATTCGTCAAAGCTTCATCTCAGACTGCGATTGTTCAATCATGCGCTGCGAAATAAAAACCGCTCTTTACGTCTACAGAGAAGAAAATAATCTTTCGGTATTCCAATGTTTATTTCGAAATGTATGGAAGACAAATTTACAATTGGTTACGACAACCTCTTTGAAGATTATTTTTCTTTTTAATCAAACAATAAATCATGCTTTAAATTATAAATTCAACCTCGCTTTGTATATAAATGTCACAATATTAAAAGATAATTGTTATCTAAGGTGATAGAAAAGAATAGGAAGCAAAAGTTGTGGTACTATACTACACTGAGAAATATTCTCAATTATTCTGAAATTACTCAGACATTTCGAGACTTCCTGTATATACCACCAAATTATACTTATTGTAGGGTTAAAAAAGAGGGATAAAATAAAAATTTAAAAAATAACTTTGAAATATAAATATTGAAATAAACAAAAAAAATCCTCACTTTATATTCTTCCTATTTAATACAATATATGAAACAAGGATATTTTTAAACAACCGCGCGTGGAAACGCATATTTTTCCCTCGTCTATTAAGAAAAAAAATCTAATACGTTGCTTTTTTCGTATAAAACAAGCAAAAAAATCGAGAGGAAAGCGAGTCGATCGAGAACTGATTGGATTTTAAAAAATTGATTCCTGTATTTTCCCCAGATGGTATAGCGTTGTGCTCGAAATCAATGGAAATTGGAGTAAAATGGATTTTCGCCATTTCAATAATTTAGGAAACATTTCTGTAGCATAAGACATGAATAAAAGTAACTCGAACGTAAAACGTAAAACGCCTGCATTGCTCAGTGGACTGAATATTTCGAATAAAATTATTTAAATATTAAATACAAAAGGTTGTATAGGAAAGTGAAAAAGGGTATTTTGACAAAAAATATATCAAAAGGGGAGAATTTTAAGAGAAAGGATGGTGCAGAATAAGTAAAAATGAAAATCTATTTGAAGAAAGATCTCTACACAGTTCACATCTTAATGACGGTGTAAAAAATGAAGAGGGTAGTTTTAAACATTTATTTGCAAATTCGAAAAGCTGAATGCAATTGATATGCATTAAAAATTAAGACAGCCAGCAATTCCTAAGCAACAATGGCAAACCGTAAAAAAGCCCTTTTTTTCGCAACAGCTATACTGCTTTTCCGGCTCCTTCCGTGCGGTAAATCCTCCTCGTCCGAGGAATTCCCTCGATAACAATCAACCCTTTTTCGTCCATAAAACCTTAGGCAACCGTACTATCTGCCAGATATCAAAACGAAATAATATTCATCCCTTTTCTTCTTCGAGTATTTACCGGGTCGGGGAAATCATAAAGCGAAATAAAGCTCTCGCAGTGAATATTTTATCAAAAAGAAATATAGAAGGAAAACTAGTATATCTGCGCTTTTTCGTACATAAAGTTCTTATGTGTCGCGTGCATACCTAAGTGTTCCTCGCACTTACATCCCACTTTACGTCTCTGAAATATGAGCTTTTGTGAAATGCGCTCGCCGACGACACGGCTCCGCGTCGCGACGCACTGCACACGACGCTAAATAACAGGGCGACCTGAAACTTTCGTATGTGTGTTGTTTCGTACGTACACTTATTCCATTTTGACCCCGGCGAAAAGGGCTTTTTAAATTCACTTACTCGCCGGCGAACTTCTGTCTGATAAAGTGCACGGTTTTAGAGTTGATAACAATCCATCTCAAAACATTTCAAAATACATTTTATGCGAATGAAATCGATAGAGATGAGGATTATTAACGTGATGAAGTAGGTAACCCAATTATCGCTTTGTTTAATTAACTCCTTAAAAACAGATACCCTTCATTGTGCTCGCTTATTTAGGGCTTCATTCAGCTCGGCTCCTTGTACATTTTCTTCCGGCTGTTCGATCCTCGTAATAAACACGTTGTTCGGACGTTTTTCATTACACGTCGGTCCAAAAGCATCCGTTAGACTATAGCGTATCAAGTTGGAAAATTTCCTTTGATCGTAATTCTTGAGCCGACACGGTTTTTGTAACGAAATCCACCCGAACAACGGCGATAATGAACAAACCAGTCAATGTTGCGTTACTTAATTATAAATTTAATTATACGATTCGTTCTCTGGGCGGGTATTATGTACGGATTCGCTGGGTTTATTTTTGTACCTTTTCGGTTTATTTAGGTTTCATTGAGAATTCTTAATGGTAATATGGTTTGTTTTCAATCCAAATAACCCAGTGAGAATCGTTTGTTTTATTTTAAATTGGCTTTATTTTAAATTGTTTTGTTGTTAGAAGAGCAAATTTTTAATGGGTCGCAAAAGTGTTTTCATATGTGATTTTTTGAGGATTGCAGTGTATCAAATTGGGCATAAGAAGTCCATAAAAGTTAAGCGTTAATGGATTTCCTGAATTTTCTGAATAATGTAAGGTAGAGGGAGATGTCTAGGTAACGTGAACGCGGTGTAATACAAATACAAATTAGATCCGCGTTGGTACGTGGTGTCGCAGGAGAGACCGCCTGCCAGTCGGTCTATTTCCATTACACCGAGGTAATTGCAAATTGAGCTCTCGAAACTCCCCTTCTAATATTACTGTCGACTATGCTAACCGCAATTATCGGCCTTTGTCGATTCCCGCTATTCCCCAAGACGGAGATCAGAATAATTACGATTGTTGCCGGCGAGTTTTTTTCTTGCTCAAGGAAACGACGTTAGGTGTGTACCCAATTTCTCCGGAGATTCACTTAAAAATTTTCAGACACGAAATGTTAAATAATGAGTACAATAATATGACTTGTTGTGATCAAGTCCGTTTCGTGTCTGTTTAAGGAGAAAGCCATTTTTATAGCTGTAATAGTAGCTTGTTATTCGGAATTGTAGCGGTAATTAATCTCATCAATTTTGCAAGCCGGAGAGAGAAATTAACGCGAATAAATATAAATCCACCGTTGGTCCCATATGGTGTGGTTATTTAATAGCTGAAAGTAAATAATTGCATTACTTGTTGTTGCAGTTTCCAGGAGCGCTTGATAATTATTGCGCCTGCAATAAGTGATTTATGGAGGTTGAAAGGTATTCTGCTAATTAAACATTACCTAGGTTTATGTGATTATTTCTTGAATTCTGTATGTTGGACTATATACGGAGTGTTTCCTATCGAAAACTCCTGGTTGAAAAGTAGGGCGTTTGCAAAAAAATATTGCAAATTAATTTGCACGTCAATGGTGACCCGCATTTCGGTTTTGATTTATCGAGTTTTTTGGAATTTTTATTCCAGAGCAATATTTGTAGTTGGTGTGGGTTGTTTTGTACGTAAAGGCAATTAATCGAAATTAATCGTTTTCCGAACATTACTGGACATTAAAAGAATTATTACAGGCCATAAATAACGGATTATTTTGTATTTTGTAGGTATAGCTTTTTTTGTAGCGAAAAGGGACGATTTCGATTGCGTAGGTAGGTATTTGTCTTCTACTTAGCATATTCTGGATAATTAATTAAGGATTGCTTCGTAAGGCAAATAAGGCTTAACGTTGCTAGCAGGAACTTTGTATAATATTTACAAATGGATTTTCCAACTTCTTAACGATTTTTCATAATTAAATTAAAATAATGTTCTTATGTAATCCGATCGATTTTTCAGAAACTTTATAGTGGGCTTAAAAGAAAAACAGAGAAACAAAAAAGAAAAAAAAATACTTCAAAAACCCTTTTATCGCAAATAAAAACACAAATATTATCATTTACTAAACGACTACTCAAAAGGAAACAATATCTTTCCCAAGATATTATCTACCTACCTTTTATATTCCAAGAAAATGTCGGAATAATTAAAAAGCCTCTTGAACTTTCCCCGTTGTTTCAACCTCTGCCATTTTATCGAACGAAAGAAAATTAGGTCTTCTATTTAATAATACTGCAGTGATTAATTCGCCTCGACTTAAAAAGAAATGCGTATTTATCCAAGCTAATGGCTTCATGTCGCATCTTGTCCGTATTAAAAACCGTTTGTTTTTAATAATGTTTAGTTTAATGAATTTCATGTCGAGCTTTCCAAGAATTTCGCGATAGCGTGTAATAGGAAAAAGACTAGGTCAGGACGCGTCGAGACGCTGAAAAGTAAACTAGTTTCCCTCGAACACGGGAAACTCTCTTTAATTAATCCGGACTCGAATTAAAACTTTAGAGCTGTTTTATAGATTGTTTTTATTTAAAAATACAAAGCTGTAAATATTTATAAACCTTTATGTGAGTTCTCCTGTAGTTTACCAAGCTGATAGAACTTCAAAAATTTATCAACGACACTTTAGAAAGTATTTTCTCTAGTTGTATTTTTTGTATAGATTTTTTTTATTGTTTGCATGCCTCGCAATTAAAATAATGTTCCATTATTAATTGATTCGTTTCGCTGTTTAGAAACGCTCGATTAGATATTGTAATATTTTTGGTATCGACCGTCTAATCCAGTCGAGCGATAAATTATTCAATACTGAATTAAGCTATTTTCCTGTTTGCAGCCGTAAAAGTGCTACCGATGAAAATTATAAGGCTATAAAATTGCTGATGGCAATTCACCTTTATTACATTCGCCAGTTCCTACCTGATATGTTAATGGAGTCCGTGTAGGCTCTATTAAGGGTTCCGAAAAGCCTTTAAAATATTTTGGTGTATTGTGTTACTTACTGTGGAACTATAGAGTATAAATGAAAGAGAAACCTCGTTAAATTTCCACATATTTAATAAAACCTCTAAATATACAGAATCATAGCTATGTACAATAGAGAACGAGCTTACATATACCACATATTCACACTAAATAAGTTCGATTTTATCACAGCATTAAATCGGCAAGAGAAACACCGAATGTCTTTTGAGCAACGCGCCTCATCGGGTACTTCCCCGCGTTTATGTCACCAACATGATAGCCCAAGTTACAAGCACGCTCCCCAAAGAAGCCGATAGATGACCCGATGAACTTTTCACTGAAAAAAGAAATTTATTAAAATAATTACGCCCTCTAAACATTAATGATAATTTGACAATAAGGGTGTCCTGTAACTCTATGTCCTATAATCTTTGTCCTTCGAGTCACAGGACACCCTGTATAAGCGTATCTACAAAAAATGCACGTTCCCTTCACGCTCGAATGGCCCGAATCGATTTGCATCGATTTGATTCGATTATAAATCCCCTTCGATTATGCCTTGATTACACCGTTTGCGGGCGCTCTTTGTCTCTAACCTTATTAAATCGCCCCCGCTTTTTTATCGCGCGAATCGGATTCGCGTCGAAACAATCCAAAAATTCGGGCGATGGGTAATTCGCGTCACGTTCTGCTGATCATTGTCTGATTTAAAACGATTTCTTTTAGGCCTCGCCGATGAATTTGGACCCGAAATGGCGATCGCTCTTTTCCTTTCGCCTCGTCGAAGGTTTTCCGTACGATGAAAATTGAGGCGGGCATTCAAATAATTTAATCGGGTCGCATTCGTGGGATATTTGCAGCTCTAATATAATGGGGTTTTTTGTGATTTATACACTCAAGACTGTCTAATGTAAGAGAACTCTGTCTACTCAAGGCAATAGATAAATCTGTAACTACAGAAAAATTAAATGGATTTTTTAATATAAAAAACAGGCCATTTAGAAGTCCTTTTAAGAGCTATATGCTGTGCAAGTGTACGTAAAATTAGGATATTTAAATGCAACTGAATCTACAATTAACGCCATTTCCATTACAAAAACCCGACGCTAATTCGTGGATTGTATTTGTCTGGTTTCGTGCGGTATAACATGCTCGTTTTATTGTCGTCTAATTTTTACGACGCGATTTTAAAATCCGATTCCCATAAAGATAACGGCCGAAGGGAGGGAAATTACAAGCATCATGCGACCGAATCAACCCGACACCCAAGAAATATACATGGCTTTCCCTAATGACCTGTAGAAGACGAAGCGGGTGATTCACTGCCGGAAATTAGAAAAAAGCTACACCATTCATAAAAATATTATTATACAGTAGACCTAATGTTCGGCAAAAAACAACCCCTTCGCATCGCAATCCTCGTTAAAAACCGCCCCGTATAAGCGTTTGTATTAAGTAAACTGGCATACCATCAAACCTAGCAAGGCGGATGGACCACTCACCGAGTAGGAGGGCCTCTCGAAGGGGCACGCTCTTGCTCTGCACGACGCTCTCCCTGTCGCTCCTGTAGAGGATCGGCGCTATGGAGGCGACGCACTTGACACGCATCGAGCCGCCCCTGAAATGCTGCTCGGTCAGCTTGAACGTCAGGCCCAGCGTGGAGGAGATGAGGCCCATGGGGTGGTGGGTCGGCGGGTACACCACCAGGGCGTCGGGCCTTTGGATCTGAAATTTGACGAGCCGGATTAAGGTGGAGAGAAAAGAGGAAGTTTTCTACTAAGAGGTCGAAGGAAAGTGGTTCATCCATGATGTGGGACTCCAGGGTAAACCTCTAAGAACAAGGTGAATTAGAGTAGGGAGTTATCCTGCTGAATCTAGACCAACAGAATGGGCTAAAAAAAGTATCTGCATGGGAATCCTTTATAAAGAAGGTAAGCTTGGAAGTCCTGAGGCAGCACCTTTGAATAAGTGTAGAGAATTATCCTCCTGAACCAGCACTACTTGAGTAGCTCCAATGGATTTGGAAAGCAATGGTTATAAACGAGAAAGTACTATACGAGTTATAGGTACTATATTTTACCTGTTGTTCGTTGATGTACCAGTGAAGTATCGAAGCCGGGTGGCTTTTACCGGACGTACAATTCAAGTTTATAATATCGCCTATTTGGTACTGGATTTCGACGCCTGTTATTATGGGATCCTCTTCGGGCAGAGCTGGAACGATAAAAATTAATTCGCCATTAATTCAGGCATCGTGCGGTAGATTTAAAATTTATCTAATAAAGAATTTGGATCAATCATTCCTTAATCCTTTCGTCGTTTTATTATATTTTTCAGGGTTCGATAAAAGAGACAAGATTTAATGGAGTCTCCATTTAGTAATCGATTCTTTAGGATGAGCTTGAATTAAATTTTGATAAATGTATTAGATGTAATATCTATCTAATTCAGAGATTATGATTTACTTTTTTACCTGAATAGCTACTTATTTTAGAATTTTCATTTATTTAATACCGTAGCTAAAAATCGAAAATTTACCCTCGAATTCGACGGCAATTTTTCTGGCGAGCAATATAGCAGCAAATGAACGAAACTGATAACTTAACAGAGATTCGATTTAGCATTGCAGTTGGGTCTTTTGAATCTCCGGTATCCTTTCATGCGGCTCACGTACCTCAGAAATATCGACTGCTATCGGTCCGATGAAGAACTTAAATTTCCAAATCAATAACTGATTTTTGGTGCAATATAGCGTAGGTATTGTATTCCCGGCACGTACGGATACCGTACCATTTCGAATATGTAGAGCAATTCATTATTCATGGTCGACTACCCCGGACCCAGCGAATTTATGGCTCATTTATCAAGGAAAAAGTTGCATCGAAACGCAGAGGACCATTGCACGGAGGGCGAGGGTTGATTGTGTTTTTACCACAATACTTAGCGGTTTGTAATTTTACGTGACTTTTAATTTATTACACGGCATTTTAGCAACATTACAAAATATTCCCTACAAACTCCACAAACAATATAAATTAAATATTGAATAAAGAACTGCATTATTATGTACATTACAAATTATCATTCCTACACACTTTTATTCTTTACCTACCTGCTACAAAATGCACTATATGAAAGTAAGAAAGATTATTTATTGATCTTTATGAAAAGTGAGATTGTATCTAAAGTTAGTAATATAATTTGTGATTAATTGCAATAGAAAATTTGACAGTATAATTCCATTATATCGAGGAAAATGAAACGATATTACGAGTTAACGAATTGAATGAAAGTCAATTTGCAAGTACACGGTGTGAATGGTACCTATAGAAGGTTTTCATTATCCTTTTTACGATTAGTTTTTACATTCTAATGAGTAATATTCAACTAGCTATAAGAAAATTGGATTAATAGAGGAATTAGGTAATTGTGTTAGATACACTAGCATTAGTTGTAAGAAATCTCCATTTTTGCCTTATCGATTTTTGTATTAAAGCTAATTTACATAATTCAATTTCTTGTATCTGCATTTCAGAGTTTTATTTTCCATCACATTATTATAGTTTTTTTATTCTCTTCTGAATTTATTAATTTAATTACAAAAAAATGTTAGTACAGCCTTTGAAGAAGGTTCTGTAAATTACGACAATATTAAATATTAGCCATAAACAAAAAAATATCGTAGACTTTTAGGATCATATAAAATGAAAACGGTATACTCGTATATGGCTTTATTACTTAGTTTAGTGTTAACTGTAGCATTTATATCTAACCATAAACTCGAAGCGAAAATTCCCATTTTCCCCTCGTCGACAATGAAGTGGTTCAGTCAAAACGTTCAAATTATCAGGTGAATTACGACTGTTCGCCGGCGAAAATATTACACCGGAATGAAACTATAGCCCACAAATTTTTCTAAAATTCATAATTTTTTTTCATTTCCATAAATTTGCATAGCCGCGAAACCTTCCCTCAAAACACTAAAATTATTATCTCTAACGAAAATCTGAAAGCGCCATAAAAATAAACATTCTGACACGACAAGTCTGAAACTCCTTTTCGTGCGATATACGGGAGACATAAAAACGCGACTTTTTTTGTTCGGGCGATGCAAATGAGGCCGTACATACACGATTATTGTTCCACGATGTAAATACTTTCCATATGTGTTAGGGCTTCAATCTTAATTCAACTTACTAATCTGGTTTGTTGATATTTTTCGTTTTCATGTTCAGCAACGATAAAATCAATCGGTGAGGACGTACCGAAATGATTTTAGAACACCCCATATGTACGTATTACTATTTTAGAGAAAATATATTTCAAACTAAATCTCCTTATCGGCGACATAATTTATGAGAAGTTTCTGCGTTTTTTATCAAGTCCCGTAATGGCAAAAGAGGAAATTAATAGCCTACGGTGGAAAAGTTTAAAATCTTAACTACGGCGGAGTTCAGTTCTCTAGCGAGATGAAATTTGTACTACCTACTAGACTTTTCTGGATTATTAATAGACTGCGAAATATAAAAAGGGTCATTGGTTGTGCGGCTGTTGAATTTATTGTGGTAGTTTTAGGGATCGTTCGATCGAAGGAAATGTTTAATTCAGGGGTTTCTTGCGAAAATTTAGGTGCACTTCGACAGGCGTCTTGTACCGACGGAATTTATTGCTTATCCAATTAAGTTAAGGTAGCGTTTTCTTGCACAATATGTCCATAAATGGACTCTATTTTTAACAAATATATGACATTCGACTATACCCTGTAAATCCAATAAACTTATTACGAAAGGAATTCCAAATACCATTAGTGCATGTATAATACTCCTGACAATAAATAAAAAAAAACAAATTTAATGAATGTAATGTAATGGAATGTAAGTACTCTCGGAAAACACATCAATTATTGTACACTTACTTGCAGTTCATTATAATACGTAAAAGAAAGGACTCGCGTGGTCGCGTGTCCTTTATAAGACACAAAATAAAATGATCGGTCATTCTCTAGAGTCTAGATTAATGATTGTCCCTCTCTCTATTAAACTAAGTACACGAAACCCCATTTATTGTTAATGTGACGGCTCAGGATTGGATTCGCTTGCAATTCGAATATTTCGAATGAAAACCAAATATAACAATCGTTTCTAAAGTAAGACGATACAACATATTCTTGAGGAATATGTTATCGCATTTCCTGTCAATTTCGGGTATCAAAAAGGGATATTTTGAGTCGTAAATATGGGGTTTGAAATCCTTATATTTTCTCGGGGTGTTATTTTTAATGGAGACAAACGGTTAAAGTCCGGACCATCGGGTTCCTCCTTTGACGATCAATGCGATTGTATTTTAAATTGTCGCGTGCTTGTCATACTTATCGCTTTTATCGAATGACCGCTATAAACCAGAACGGTTTATTCTGTAGGAAAAAAGAGAAAAGTTGCGGAGAAATTGGCGCAATATATCTACGGCCGGGAATCTTGTCTTGGGCTATCTCTTCACAATGAAGAAACTACATGATGTCCCACAAAAATTGAACCATAAATTAACATTCTAAGACATGATTTGATGGAATATAAAACGTAATTATTCATCATTGGATCAACTTAAGAATCTCATCACGCTCAAGTAATAATTTGTCGTTAATAGAGCAAAATTAATGGAGCCGTAAAAACAACTTCAATCCGATTAGGAATTTAGTTATGCCTCTTATCTGATGTACGAAAGTAGACCCTTAATTCCCATAATTTACATCGACGTTATCAGTTCAAATGATCCATTCTGCGCTCATACTTGACCGGCATTTCGGTCTTCAATGACTGTTAATACCGACCGGGGAGGATGATCGGGATTACGTGGAATCTATTTCCCAGCGGAAAAAGAGGTGAATAAGGGAGGGAAACTCCGGCGTTACCGATGCTAGAGAGGAAACTAGTGCGGCATTACGTTGCGGTCTCGATAGTTTGGTGTAATTATAAATTAATAGTGCCTATCTACTCCAAAAATCCGTACAATCCGTGTATATATAGTTAAAAAAATAAGATAGAAGAGAATAATAAATGACTGTTGTAGAAGAACATTATACTCGAAGAACGGAAATAAATAGCAAACTAAAAATCTGTAAAGGCGTACATAAAACAAACAGGATAAATCCTTTCGTTAAATTGAGCTCACCGACTAAACGATATTTTAAAAATTGAAGCTTCCAAGCTCAGCATTTCCAGCCGAACTTTCTGGAAGATTTACTACTTTAACGTAAATTGAGGACCCAGTGGCGGAGATCTGGACGATTATATTCATATTCCCCTCGATTTATGGATGTATTTTTTTTAAATTTTACAATTCCTTTAACCAATTTTATTGATCTATCAAAAATGTTATTGTTTCTGTGGTTTGTTAGGTAGTTATTTTTTAATTTTTTAAAAGTACTAAAATTTTATATGTACGGTATTAAAATTTGAACATCAAATATTTTAAAATATTCCTGTGCGGTCATGAAGGAAATAAACAGGAAAATATTTGGTAAAATCTCTGTAAAATGGGCATCCTTACGATTAGGGATTTGGGAATTGCTTTCAAAAAAAAAGAAGATGGTTGAATACATTCTGGGTCACATAACGTTTAAAATAAATCTCCAGTTTCTATCTTGTTTGAGGGTTCATAGAGAAATATAATGACCGCTCAATAGCTTTTGAAATCGAGAATATGTTCTTTTGTGTATTGTTGCGGAGAAAGCAGTTATTTAGATTTATAGGAATCGCAGAATTCCAAAATTTATTGGTAAAAGCATTTCAGATCGCCTCAATTTAGCTTTTATTGCAATTTCACAAGAGGAAATTCTTATATCGCATAAATACTAACCCCAAGCGGTTCTGAACTCAATGCAATTAATACAATTTTATGAAATTAATTGGTCAATTTCTTTATTTATACAAACTATAAAAACGCTATAATTTTAATGATTTTAGATCGTACTTAAAGCTTTTTTTCGAACAATATTTCAAACCTTTTGTCGAGGACTCAATTCCCTTTGTCGATTTCCATTTTTCGTCGGCGGAAGCTCCAGATAAAAAAAAGGAAACAACGAAAATCTACCTGTGCAAATCTAATTCTCCCCTGAGGCGCGCGTAGGCTGCACATTTCCAGCTGCATTCCACTCCATTTGTTCAACCGCCGAAATACCCTAACTACTACATGCATATACCGGTGCTAAATTCAACAATAGCGCGTTGCGAAATTTAAATTCATTTTATATGACTGTTTTACGAACGTAAAGGTTTGCTTGCACGTCGTCGAGTTAATTTATGCGCTAGCGATTCTCTATTAGGTCGGGCTTTCGTCGCGATTTTATGACCGGTCGCGGAAAAATGATAATTCGCGAACGAGAAAAATTGTTCTTTTAAAGAAATATTGTCCGCATCTAGCTGGAGTTAATTTGTCGTGTTCGTTTTTTCTAGTAGCGAAGTTTTTGTTCGTTTAGGTTAGTTTATTTCAAAAGAATGGATCTACAGGATGGATTGGACAAAAGAACCAATTGGATAAACAGGATAAATTTTACCTTAAAGAAATGTGCTAAAAGCTGAAAAGAGTCAATTGCTCATTTAATTAATGTAACTACCCAAAAAACATTTATTTTTCTGTCCCACATTTGACCATTTCATCAACATTTTATCACTTGAAATAAAATAGGAAAAGAATTTAAAATCGCACTAAATTGCACAAAAATTAATTATACTACATCCGAATAATTCAAATTAACAGATTTCGACAAAGCCAACCAATTAAATGAAAGCTTAATCAACCATTTGCATAATCAGCCGGTATTTCCCAATAATTCTGTTCTTCCCCGAAATTACGGGCCTACCAACTCGTTCGAATCATCGCAAACACGCCTGTATTAACAAATTAATTTACAAAACGCGGAGTTATCATCAGAAATCTCTCATCGACTGTCTGTCTACGCAACCGACGTTCCGGCGCCGGAACAATATATCCCGATTTGCGGAAGATTTATGCGGAATATAGATGATGATTTGCGTACGGCATAGGTGTCGCTTCGAATGAACGCAAATTGATATTCGCCCGTCGTATCAGCATCTCTCCTGATTACCGCAAGGGAAATATACAAACGCCGTTTCAATTATGCATGCCGAACGCGAAACGATGCCGAAACAATATTGAACTTTTGCGAAAACGATTGCATATTTCAAAGGGAAACATAATAACTTGCTATGTACTCGTTCTCGCCCGATTCGTCAGAAAGTCGCCCGTGCAACGCGAACTTACGCTCCCGCTCGAAATGGAAAAACTTTTTCCTAATACTGCCTGCGTAATTCCGCCGCTATGATTTATAAGAACGTTTCAATTAAGGACGTGAATTAAGGGGCGCGGATTTTCGATGTGACTGATGTAGGTGAAATAAGCGATTTGCGCGACGAAAGTGTTAAATGTTAATCGAGTAGCGCCAGTCGAATATTTTTCTCGATCCGAACACACAGTGGGTGTCCCAAAACATGTTCGGTATATTCGTAATTAAGCGGATAACATTCTCGCAATCTTGTTGTGATGAACAACAAAAGCCAAGTGCGTCATCCGATAAACTAATTCTCCTTTGTGTACAATGTTTATTTGGCCAGTTAATGTTTAGTTATAATTAAATATAATCGAATCGCGTACGGTCATTAGACACTGAATTATTCACGAAATTTCGGGATGAATCAAGCGATTCGTATAATTTCTGGTTTATTAACTATTGAACCCAGTACATATAGCCTTATTCCTAATACGAACCGGACCGGTTAACGTTTCATTTATTCGGAATAATTGGTTATATTAATATTAAATACCTGCTCAAACAAGTTAGTAAAATGATTAATACAAAACTTCCAAAAGTATTGGAGCTCTAAACGGCGCATTTTATGAAAATAAGGATATTTTCAAACTACTTCTATCCAAATATTTCATACAGGATGACTCCGAAATGCCTTTGGAAACTAATCAGTTTGCATTATAAATCAAAGACCTTGTTAAGCAGTCGACAAATAATTTAAAGGGTTTCACGAATTGACGCGTGGACCTTACGCCAAAAACCCTTGCAGCCTCCATTACACAGTCATTTCCCCGTTGTACAGCCGGGAAATTAATCCGTTGCAAACATAAATGTGTAAATTAACACGGAACCGATTATTCGTCGGATTCCCCTTTAGCGTCCCGGGCTGTGTATATACAGGGCGTCCCACATCCGAGTTACAACATCGAAATCTCGCGAAATGCAAGATTTACGAAGTGGTTTACGTTGGGACACCCTGTTCATACAGCGACGATTGGCCTCGCAGGACGCCAAAACTCCAGTAAGCTTTACAGCAACAAACCGAAAGGAAAGTCTATTCAAACAAGAGCTTTCGAAAGGTTGTTTGTCCAACTCAATTTCAGTTTGCTGTTGTACCTAAACCGCCCGGCTCGCCGGCTAAATAAGGTTCGACGTGTAAAGATTGTTGCTCAAACACGTCTTCGCTTTGCAAATAATATAAATGCCTACATACAACTTGTTAAATGGGTGACCTATTGTAGGTTTATTGCAGTAGTGGAGCTTTCAGAACTTTGCTACAAGTGCACAGCAGCACAGCGCCCGTTTTGGTTCGTTTGAATGGTTTCGCGCACGGACTGCAGAGTTCTGGATTCTGTGCGGTTAGAGATATAAAAATTGAATGCCGAGAGGAATCGCGCGAAAAAAGTTGAAGTAAAGAACAAGTTTAGAAACTCACATATGATTTCCATTCTTGCTTCGCTTTGAGCCGATGCAAACGAAGGTGCTTCTGCGGACACTTCGCATCTGAAGACGCCGCTGGTTCTCCAACTCACCGGGTGTAAAACTACTCTTTTTCTATCGGATTTGGATAACTGGAAGGGAAATATTTGAATTTTAGATCATCAAGATAAATGAATGGTTTATTATGCACGAATTTTTATCGTATTCTTGCATAAAAAAGTTACTTTTTATAAGAAATAATTCAAACTCCAACGCTTAAATTTTTGAGATACCTCAGTTTTTAACAAACAAGTATTTTACATTAACATAAACTGATTTTGGAAAGAGTACATTAATAAATATTCATTAAAAAATTCATTATGATGATTTATTTTAAGTAACGTAATCAAGCCAACGACAGACATCAGTGGGGAAAAAATGGGGTTTTCGGTTTAAATGACCGGCCATTTGCTTTCGCATATGTTGCGTTTGAACTCATGAAACCGGCTCACATGATTAATGTAAATAAACGATGCCCTCGTGGAAGCAATATCCTGATGATGGAATGCAATTTAACAAAACGTATCTACCTCTACGTAAACATTTGGTTATATTTTGTTCAAAATTTCATTTGTACGAATTATGTACATTTGAAAGAGCACATTAGATTAAATATTTTCCAGAAAAATTTAAATTGTGATCATAAATCTAGAGAATACTTGACATACAATATTTACTACAATAAAAATACTACGTATTTTTTGAATTCACCTTCTCAATAATATTTTTCCTGAGCTAGAATTTTTACATCTGCACATAAGAAAAATCGTCTGTAATTTACTTGAAGAATACTCTTACACCCTGTATAATAAATAAAATCTCATTCTCTAACCGGCATCCGGTTTCCATTGTACCATAATGGAGTGAAATATTCCACCAAAATAGTTTTGATAGCTGTCATAATGGGGAATTTCCTTCCTCGGAAAATAGGTTCCATAAATCAATCAAATGAAAAGGCGTCAAGAAATTTCCAACTTTATTCTTTGAATTTTTTAGAATTTACCTGCCATATAACATAACGTAACATGGCGTAATAAATTATTATCAGCGGCTTTGTTATTGATATCAAGCCAATTAATATGTGTATCAAGTATTTACACGCTTTTAAATAGTTTTAAATAAATTGAATACTCCACACAATACTTTATTTATGCGACATATGGAAGGCGACGTGTTAAAGAAGAATATTTTGTAGATAATGGGGATTTATTTTCTTGTAGAAAACAGAAGCGGTTTATCTTCCTGTTTCAATTTATCCAAGAAAATAATCCCACTGTGATATCTAGATGAAAACGTATTCTTACATTGAATTTCATTTTTCATGCAAAGCAAGCTCTCTTTGAAGCGAAAATCGATACGTGGATACTTAAAAATCACTGTATTCGATATTTCAATTTCAATAAAATCAATATACGTGAGTACCTATTCATATAGGTAATTGTTGTAATACATAAGTAGTTGTAGAAATGTTGAAATTATAGTGATAAACTGGAAAAATGAAAACGTTTGTTCGTTCTCAGTACATAAACGAGATTTAATTTCAGATTTTCGTGCTCGTTTCACTTAAATGTTAATTACAGTTTTTTTTACGATGCGGTGGAATCTGAATAAGTAATAACCCTACAATTTCCGTATTTTGTTAATTACAAGTAATGCACAAGGCGCTGTTTAATTGAATGTTCGAATAAAAAATTCGAAAAATTCGTAGAACGAAAATATGAAACAAGTGCTTACTAAATGCAGAGACTCACTTCAGTATTCAGCGAGCCGTACTGAATTATAAATATTTCATCTTGCAAATTCTCGTTATATTTTAAGTCAACAGCAATAATCCCGACTTTTTTTTTCGCCCAACTTTTAACTCCGAGTTTAATACAAGAATCCCAGTCGAATCGACTCCTCCGGAATATTGTCGAGTTATTTACACGCATTCCTCTGTGTAAACCCTCTTTGAAGGTACCGTGCGGTTTTCAATTATGCAACATAATCAAAGGGCAAACGCCAAGAAGACACTTCAGGGCACGTCCCGTCTGCGCTTTGACTTGTATCGATTTCGGTGTATACGCCGGTTATAGGGCTGAATTATTCAGAATTGACTCGCTAACTTATGAACGAAGGGACAATAGAACAGTGTCGGTATCGGTTAACAAAGGTAGCGTAATCTAAATATGCTATTAGGCGACGGGACAGAAAAAAATTGTTTGTTTTGGAGAAGAAGATAAAAGGTATATCCCAATTTAGCATCATTCAAAGGGCACATTTCTACTCGCTATATAACAATTGTAACCAGAACCGGATTAATCATATTTGGGTGCTACGCAATGCACGTTTCTACGCCCCTTTATACCCTTCTGTAACATCCTAAATTATATTTTTTTCGAGGCGCGGGACCTCTAGTCAGTTGTCTAATGGCAAATCCGGCCCTGATTGCAATAACGTATTGTAATAGAGGTATCTGTTATGGTAATAAGGCATCATTCCTTACGTCAACGTGTACTCCATCGACTTCGTACGAATTGGCCTGCGGTCTGGCTTTGGGCACGAATCTGTAGAACTCCTCGTGCTCCTTGTACCATTTGACTGCGTACAACGTGTCGTTTCCCAGATCGAAATCGCATTGGAGGAGAGCCGTTTCGCCAGGCACGCGATACTGCGGTACGTTCACTCTCACCCATTTCAGACCGCCGCCGCTCGACAGCGCTGGAACCGAAATATTTAATTAATTGCATTATTTAAGACAGGGAATGATGCGAAAGTTTGTAAACTACCACTACGTATGCTAGCGTTCGTTGAATTTATTGTTTAATTTGTGTAGAGTTAGTTGAAGCACCTCGAAATGTTCGAGGAAAATTAATTATTTTTTTCTTTGTTTGTAACAATTGTACAGGAAAGTAGCGATAAGTTTTGGGGGGTATTGCGAAGCGCCACTTAGTCCTCAAAACGCCGTTAAATACGTTTTTATTTCGATATTCTCCGTATTTTTATGGTCGAAGTTGGCGAGATAAGTAGGCTGTAGTGGAAATGGGGAACGGGGGAACCCCCGATTCTCGAAAAAAGACAAGAAGGAACAAGGCTCTTCAAAAGGCATCAGTGACAACTTCATTTAACTCGAACCGTTCCTCGAAATTCGCAATTTCGCGACGAGCTCGCTCCTTTCTAACAATCAACCGGTTTTCGTGGTACCGGGTGTCCCAACGAAAACTCGGGCCCAATTATTCCAGCTGTTGTTAAAGATAGAAATGGGAATTTTTCAGGTCACTTTGGCGAACTTTTCTCCCAAGGGGGATATATCTTATAAAAGTTATAAAGTTTCTCCAACATCCAGTATCAGTACTTGAAAATGCAGAGTATCACTGCACTTGTAAACAATCATGAAAAATCCAATTCCCATTTCTGTGCAAAAATTAGTATTTCCAACTTGAAAAATAACAAAATAATATCATTAGTTTTCGTTGCGACACCCTGTAACCCGTCGTGTTTATTTTCTCGCGAATTACACCTAGAGCTTTTCTTCCTAATGTCGCTCGTTACAAAACGTCCTTAATTTTAACACGGTCGCATTGAAAGCGCAGGAGATTGGGCGAGAAAGTTTCACTTATTTTCGAGGTTAATGAAGCCGGCTAAATGTCTTCTCTCTAATTGCGTTATTAACATTTACACGCCATTGAATGCCTTAAACTAGTGAGGGTTTCCCGGGCTTTATCTCGATCGGGGGTAGCACAATGTATACCCGTTTTTAGTTGTACGTTTGCGGTGGTAATGGCGAAATTAATACGATATACCGACCCTGTTGAATACGAGTTGGGAATTATAGCCAAACAAGGCATTGTTACAATTACGTAAAAGATTGTTATGCGATGATAAAATAATATCTGCAGACACTAAATGAGATGTAAATTGAAGGAAATGTGAAAGATACTTTGCAAGGAAACTTCATCAAATAATAATCAACGGAAAATATAGTGGAATTTCACGTGATAAAAGAAACTAAAAATGATTAATGATTAATGGCTCATCATTTTCAATTAATAATACTGCAGCTAACTGAGTAGAATGGATAGGTAGACATAATTGAGCTCTTTTAAACTTTAGAGTTATATCACACTTTCAATAAGAGTAAGATATAATATTTCAAGTCACGTAAGTACAATGGTTTTAAAATTCAATTATGCAGCTAGGTGCATTCCTTTTGTTAGCCAAAAAAAACCATTTAATCTACCCGAGAAAGAATATACTAGTATATGGCATTTCCACGCTGGACCGACGTATCTGCCTCATGCAGAACGACGTGGATTTTTAATTAAAACAAACCCAAGTTTCGCTACCCAGGAAATTCTTATATATGAAACAGAAAGAGGATAATCTACTTACTCCAAACTAATCCCGTCAAAAACTGGCAGCAGACCAGTTGCAGGAACATCGGACCCATTGTGTCTCTGTCGACTCAAAAATATGCGCCGCTGAAAAGTAATTTCATTCGACGGTATCTTCCTTTACTCCGGTTAATACAAAGTCCATTCCGGTCGAAATGCGGCGACGCACTCGCTCGCTCTTCGGCCCTTTTTTCGGCCTTTCTCCCTTTTATTCCGGCACGTTATTCCGAAGAATAATTATTATTCTGTGTCTGGCTACCGTTGTATTACGTCGTTGTAGATCAAAGGCGCTTTTTGCGGGATTAAAATCAATCCTTTTTCAGTTTGCCTCTGTATCTCCGGCGCAGCGCGATGCAACAGCGGCTTGATGCCTATGTGTATTCTGCAACCGAAAACGTATAAAGTTATTAACTATTCATTTGGGTCTTTTTGCGGGGCAATCATTCCGTCGCATGGAAATGTCATTATAACGTGGGAAAAAAGAGAAGGATTCCTGGAAAATGGGACATTCTGAAACAGGGAAAATGAAAAAGCTTGCGCACCGAGCGAGACACTGATTGAGCAACTATTTCTAACTCTGAAGGTCGTTAAACCTCTAGAAATGCAGCGTTCATGAGCAAAAACCAGCAAAAGAGGAGTTTGATGCTGAAATACAGTGTGTCCCAAAACTCATTTAAACTGTTTATAACAGATGTCACCATTGCTAAGTTAAAATAATAATTCCGCACCTTGCGTTTCAGAATGTGCAGTGAATTTGTATGCAACTTCTATCATATAATCCATTCCTGCTGTTATAATTTTATCTGTACCTCGTGTGGAGGATGCCATAACTTTGGTACCATATGGAGTTACTCATTATAACGCCGTTAAAAATTAAACGTTTTAATGAAATGAGCGCTAATGTCGACAGAAACTAAGAAAAACACAATAAAACTTTGACAATAAAACATTGCCGGGTCCCCTGGTGCAGTCTATAACGTAATTATTCGCGTCTAAAGTTTCCAGTTTTACTGTAACAGCAACCCTAATTAGAAAGCCTTGGCGGCCGACATGTTAAAACTTGTAATTATTCTCGCATCAGCTAGATTATTATACGTGCATGTACACACAGTTAACGGCATACACGACGCAGGATTGACCTTTTAAATTTTGATGCGAGTTGACGGCATACAGGGTGTAAATGTAGGGAGAATAATGAGTTCTTGATCCTCCTGCTGTTCGCGAGATGCCGATGACAGGGCTCGAATTTGGGCCACCCCGTACACAGGGAGTCGTATAGATGAACGATATGAATATTTGAAGCGGTCGTCTTTAAATAACTGGAATTATTGTTAATAATAAACGAGGAGAGAACCGAAAGCGACGGAGGCTCGTATTGAAATATTGAAATTTTTCCAGACGTTATGAAGTTTGTTATCTATTATTCTATCCTTCGGAGAATATGTTAAAATGATATCTAACTGACGTTTATTTTTTGCGGGGTTTTAGTTTTTGTGGTGTCTTGAAATTTTTAAGTATCCTCTCATATATAAAGGTTTGACGAAAATTGTTGTGTTTGACAAACAATTGTTCTGGGATTTACAAAACAGGATTTTCTTCATATAAAATTGTTAAGTTGAGTCCTCTTGAAGAGATACTACTTACGTACTAACGTACTTCTAGAAAATATCGATACAAAATTTGAAACTGAGTATTACACCCTGTAATTCCTGTAAATAAATCTGAATTTCAAAGAATTATTAGTCAATAAAGAAATCTAATAAATTTGGGCCACCCTTTATGTAGGGCACGAGCACTATATAAGGATAAGTATTTCTCGGATTGAGTTACGTCGGCTCTAATTCCACGATTCCCGAAAAAAAACCCTAATAACAGAAAAAACAAATTACTCTTTCGCCCATCTTTAACCGGAATTACTGCCATATTTTCGCTCCTGGTCGGATCCAATACGGACGCCCGTCGATAAAAACGGATGATAAAAACACTTGTGGGTTTAAAAAGAAGTGGCGTATTGGCTAAAGATACGTAATTCCATTTTCCTTTTTATCTGTTTTTTCCCCGAAACTCGTTCGAAACGAAAAACTTCCGAAGCACTTTTAAATATGGAGTTCATCACTCCGGCCGGGGAGCCCTTATTTTCGCCGAGGCAAAACACCGAAAATCGAAATCGAGATTTTGACGAAGCCAATCCGACTTGACCTTTTCTACCTGTTTACCTCTTTGACCTGCTTCGTTTATTTCGTGAAATATGATGCAGAATTGTTGATTAATTCGAGTATTTTCCTACAAATTTGTATCTAAAATCGCTGTTTTTAAATCCAAATACCCGAAAGTTTAGATAAAAGAAAATGTTCCATATACCGAACGTCCCAAAAAATTGTATTACCTCAACAAATCTACAATTGTACAAAGCCAGTAAAACAGTCCGAGATAACTAAATTACTGGTGGAAGAACAGAAGGGCATGAAAGTTTCCGAAGGGTCAGTAAGTTTTTCCGCCATTCCATCCGAAGTCGATTTTCCGGCGTTGGAAATTAATTTCTCATGGGAGAAGCAAGACTGCTCGCTCACTTGTTCAGTTAGCATTATCATGTAATCTGCATATCTTTCATTCGTATTGACAGTTCGTATTCCTACAGGAAATTAGTTTAGCCTATATGGGAATCTAACAGCCGTGCGATATACAGGGTGTCCCAATAGTGCGGTAAAGCCCATTTACTCAGTTATTATAATAGATACGAAAAAATCATAAATAGGAAAAATGTTAAGCACCTTTAGGCACACAATTTAAAATTATTTCTAAATATACAGGGTGGCCCATAAATCGAAGCCATACCAAACATACCTTTTTTTAAAGGCAATGATATATTTTTTATTTCATATTCGATTTCAGCTCGTATTCACGAGTTTCTCAATATAAGATTTCATATGACTATACTGAGTATTTAAAAAGTTATGGCCATTTTTATGTTCAAATCGACATGATTTCAAGGCCCTGTATATCAGAATCTGTATCAGATAATGTGAATTTTTCTGTGTCAGCACTTTTTGAAAATGGTCTATTTTCACAAAAAATAGTTACATTCTGACAAAATTACAATTTGTATACAGGGTGAGTCAAAACGCAAACATAATAATTACTCGCTTAATTTAAATGGAACACCCTATATTAATAATACCCAATGGGAAGTCTATTTCTTACTGAATCTTTTTTCATAACATTTCCCTATACCTAACTGTCACCGTTTCTGAGATATTTTCAGTTTTATTAAAAAATGTCCAGTTTTTGATGTTATAATTTCATTTTGATCTAATTACCAATGATGTTGTCGAACTTTTTTTGCCAAATAATAGTAGAAAATTAAATATCGATTAATTATTAATCAAATATCATTAGCAGGTACCCTAAATTTTTAGTTATTCTATAATTTACAGTGACACGAGTTTAATAAGTAAAATTCGCATAGTTCGTAGATGATGACGTCATAGAGGTAACTAGATTAAATTAAAATTATAATAATTAAAAGTTTAATTTAAAAATTACCAAATATTTCGGGTAGTTAATGATCGTTAATTAATCGATGTTACATTTTCTACTATTATTTAGCAAAAACAGTTCGACAACGTCATTGGTAATTAGATTAAAATGAAATTATAATATCAAAAACTGGACATTTTTTAATAAAACTGAAAATATCTCAGAAACGGTGACATTTAGGTATAGGGAAATGTTATGAAAAATGATTCAGTAAGAAATAGGCTTCCCATTGGATATTATTAATATAGGGTGTTCCATTTAAATTAAGCGAGTAATTATTATGTTTGCGTTTTGACTCACCCTGTATACAAATTGTAATTTTGTCAGAATGTAACTATTTTTTGTGAAAATAGACCATTTTCAAAAAGTGCTCACACAGAAAAATTCACATTATCTGATACAGATTCTGATATACAGGGCCTTGAAGTCATGACGATTTGAACATAAAAATGGCCATAACTTTTTAAATACTCAGTATAGTCATATGAAATCTTATATTGAGAGACTCGTGAATACGAGCTGAAATCGAATATGAAATAAAAAATATATCATTGCCTTTAAAAAAAGGTATGTTTGGTATGGCTTCGATTTATGGGCCACCCTGTATATTTCGAAATAATTTTAAATTGTGCGCCTAAAGGTGCTTAACATTTTTCCTATTTATGATTTTTTCGTATCTATTATAATAACTGAGTAAATGGGCTTTACCGCACTATTGGGACACCCTGTATGTGTTGAGGAAAAGTCGAATGGCAGAAAAAGATGGCCGGAATGGATTATGAATGTGTAAAGTTTGATTAATTAGGTGATAAATTTTCGGTTTGTGTTAGTATAATCACAGTATGTAGGCAGGTGTAGTATAATCGATTAGTTTGATTCCATTTCAATTTAAGTTTAGTTTTATTCGGTTTAATTATTGGAAAAAAGGGAAAAGTGTTCCAAATTAGTTAAAAAAATGTGTATACGTAATTGTTTAATTAATTAGAATAAATTAAAATTAATTTGTTTCTGAGAATTTGTCTCTGCGTGAGTTTTAATTAAATGCTGTTTTTTAATATTTTTATGAATTAATATTAATAGCATTTAAAAAACAATAATTAATAATTAGTCTGTGATGATTAGTTTTCATCAAAAATAAAGGGAAAACTTTTTAATAGCAACTAATTAGTAAAAAAATCTTCCATTGTTGATTATTGATTTTACCTGGCATGATTGATGTATGTATGTCAAAAGAAAATAAAAAACTGCAAATAAAAACCTGAAACACCCTGTATTTATAAATCAATACAAACATTAAACATCGAATAAAATCAGTTTTAGTTACTAAAAATAACGCAAAGTAATGTATATAATAATTAAAAAAAATCCCATTCCTTGCTCAATTTTTGACAATACAATTAAAACAACTTGTAGCAAACATATCATCTGAAAAAACTCCGCGCAAAAACTTACATTTCCGCCCGTCGAACATCCAACTTTGGGGGAGCTTTTCGGCGAGCGCTTTTCTCGAAAGTTTCGCGGCAAACTTCGTCTTTCGATCGCACAACCGCCGGCACCGATCGCTCCAAGCGAAAACGAACGGTAAACTGCAGAACTTCGGAGTTGTGCTCTCTAACTTCCTACGAAAATGCAGGTAAGGTAAGCGCAGGCGCTTCTAAACGCGACAGTGCGTGTGTTTTGTCATCGTGAAATATGGTGATTTCAATTCAGAGTCAACAATTTACCGTTTTACCGGCGGTTTAATCGGGAAACGTGTGTTTGTATATAAAATTACAAATAGGCACACAAATGTACACAATTTAACTTTTATGTGGATTCAACCCTATTGTTTTCGTAAAGAAAGTTTTCAGGGTAAAACAACGAAATATACAGAGTGGTAGAATTTCTATGCCTTATCTAGAGAATCTCTATAACTATACTGCTTATGGAAAAATAAACCTCCCTTCTTTTGCTACAGCTTTTGAGAAAATCTAACAGTATAAATATAAATTTTTAAAAGCCTATCTAATTTAAACTAATCGTACTCAGGGATTCCCCAAAACTATTCTAACTCTACTCTCTATACCCTTCTTATAATTCCTCTTTACTTTCGATTGTCTATTCTCTATTGGCTATTCTTTGCTCTCTACTCTCTATACGCTGCACAAATCTACTCTACTCTAACAACTTCTTAACTAATTTATAAATGCAGAATCACCCTTCAAATTTCCGAACACCCGGTAAAATACCATCCATGGAAGAAGATCCGCATGTTCATTCAATCGCGAGTAAGTACTTCTAATAATTGGAGTCTTAATATGCCGTATCAGTATAGGTACTTCTCCCTATTTCCCGTCTATAAATCCTCTCCCTCAATCTGTTCGCTTTCAATCTCTGTGTATAGAGCGAGTATGGTCGGAACCTAAGCGGATTAATAACAGGATTCTCGAGCAGGCGGCACGACAGGATGCCGACTAATAAGGGGGTATTTCGGGAAATTGGGAGAATATAGGTAGTTTGTGCAACCGTTAAAACCGTAGGCCAATTAACGCTTAGTCGAATATGCGGTTTCCGTATAATGATACGGATTGTTTTATGGTTAAATGTAATCTAAACGAGTGTATAATTATTGCGTTTACCGCAAAATATTGTGCCCTAATATTTGAGCGGTTCACATCAAAATGTATTGAATTATTTTATATGGAATTTGATGATATTAAGTGAACAAACCACCACACGCAATGAAAGTTTTTCCTTTTAATTATTCTCCTACTAATTGTGGCGCTTTTGGGACATGTGTATTTTCTAACTAAAAGCAACTTTGATTAATTTTAATAATTACTTGTAGTTAAGGATTTCACAGAGGTCGTAAAGTCCGAAACAATCGCGTAATAAACGACTATAGAAAGTTGTCCCATTAATTTAATTACACCAATTTCTCACCCTTCGATTACGTATCGATCACCTTCCCGCCCTTCGGCTTGTATAGTCATGTTCGAGCAATTATATCGGCCCGCCATATATTTTTCCACCGACATTAATTATTGAAGTGCCTTTGTGGTCAAAAGGGGGCCGGCGGGGCGGCGGCTTATCTGTTAAAGATTGATGTAAGAAGCCGGAAAGAACAACAAATCACGGAGAACGCCCGTGGAAGTTTTTGTTTCTAGCTCTTTTATCGCACTCGAGTGCCGAATTCTATTATTTCCGCCGTCTTGAACGTGAAACTTTTCAAATAAATAAAATATTTTCTGATGTATGAACAGTTTATTAACTTGCCGTTTTCCCGGTAGGGAAGCTCCACTACAGGGTGTTTCTAAATATCACGATACTTGCATTCGAAAAAAGATATTAAGATCGTTTCTTCATTTAAATATATTTCTACAATGGTTTTATTGCCAGGTGAAATTTTAGGACTATTTTATATTTTTCTCTTTCATAATTCCTACACTTTTCAAAATATGTTGCTCTAATTTAAGTTTAATAAGAAGAGCTTATAAAAATGATCGTGTAAAAAGAGCTGAGAAAATCTACAGAGGGATATTTATTTAGGGTCCTGGATACTTAGCTCATACTCTTTCGTATGATATTTAGGAGTACCCTGTATATGTGTGTGGAAGAAAAGTCGAATTATTACCGAGAAAACGTGCGGAAAATGGCAGGGTAAACACAAATATCGTGATAGTCGATAACGTGCGGATTACGCAAAGAAACTTTTACATTGAATAAATTAATTACCCCCGTTTCCTTGGCGTGTTTAATACAGGATGTCTCCTAAAAGATGACTCATCACATGCATCAACTGCGCCAGCTTAAAATGAATTCCAAATTAATTTCTTCTACAATGTTCACGATAAATTATAAAAAAATATAAACAATGCATGTATAAAGTTTTATTTACTCTCGTTAACAAACCTAAAATTACTGGCATAAAAAAATATCTTTGTATCTTATAGCGATGCATCATTCGCATTTGAACAACGTCAGTAATTTGTTTATACAGCGCATACTACATGCGTATACGTATGCATGCCTGCAATAAATCCACCGGGGGGTCTATAACCCCTACGATAGACAGTTTAAAAGTCAATTACCGCAACGTAACGGCGATAATAACACAAATTTCGGAATCGAACGCGGAATAGTTAATTTTACAATTGCCATAGCGGCAACGACGAGCGCCGATGCATCGCCCATTGTTTTGAGCGGAATTTATAGGATATGTCGAAACATCCCTGGCGATTAGAGAAACGCTATACAGGGTGTATAATAATTAGAAAATACACATCTACCGGATCCACTTGATGAGGAATCCAGCTAATAACATACAGATATCATGTCATTATTCTGGTGATAGCGCAAGTAGATTATTGTATTAGATATCGTTTTAACTGGGAGATGGTGTTTGCGTTATGTTATTGCTATAAGGTGAGACATCCTGTATGCGGTGTTACAACAGCCGGCGCAATTATCTTTGATTGACGTATTAATTCTTCATAAAAATCGGCGAATTTTCCGGGGAAAACGCCACGCGTATCGCGACAAGATCGGCCGAATGGAATAAAAGCGAATTGACGATGGAATCGGATATGGTGAATTGCCAATTTGTTTATCTGTTGGGTGTATGATGGATGTTCTAATTAACGAGTCTTTGGGATTTTTGTTTCGTAATTTTTTACGCTTCTAAAGGTTATTTTCAGAACCGAAATTTGTTTCAATTTTTCCTATAGTGTGTACCAAATAAATATATGGATCAACTGACACGAGTGCTTGAAAAATCGCAAGTGGGATTAAAAACGTGGGTAAACTGATGTTTAATGAGTTTGATTTATATGAGTCCTGGTTAAAAGTTTTACAACAATGCAGAGCCTTTTACTCGTAAATACTAAAGTGGCGAGACAATTTGTGGAATAATTAGCAGAGGCGCTGGAAAAATTGTGAAAATTTAATTCCAATTCAAACTGTCGGCCTACCTGATGCCCTGTTGGTATTTGAAAAATTAATCAACACCACTCACCGAACATCAAGTGCGTCGAATCATATATACAGGTTGGTCAAGAATATATGGATTTTTTATAATATGGAATCATATTCTAGGCGGAGATATGGACCCCAAAAAATCTTCCCCTTATTTTTTCGCTACCCGACGTGCAAATTACATCTCGCGGAATATGATTTAATTCCCTTGATTTCATTTCTCCCTACTTTTCGATAATTCTTTTCGAACGGGCTTTTTAAGCGGCTGCTGACAGGGCGTTCTTCGCGATAGAATGCCTTTTTATGGCTTTTACTTTGAACTAATCCCCGAGCCAAAGTGCCTATAGTACAAAAATTTTAGTTCCAATTTTAGTCCCGGGCTCTTATGAATATCTTCCATCTTCTCTACGTTCTTCTACCTCCAAAAATCCTCTAAAAAAACATGACAAAAATCACTGAAAACCATTAAAAATTCATATGGAACTTAGAAATAACATTCAAAATCTGAAAAAAATACAAAAACAATCCAAGCAATTGCAACAAATACTACATAAATAAATAAATAAATGCCTGTTCATAATTTATAGTTTTATTTTCAAAAGAATGAACGTTTTAACTGATCCTTTTGTAGGAGGAAATAATTGACTAGAAAAATCCAGGCTCCTGGAGTAAATCCCGGATTTTAATTCAGCTGATAAATGCGAGAGACATTTTCATTTTCGCGGCCCATTCACAATGGTCTGATTATGCGACGATTTACATCTTTCGTCTTATTCCGTATTCATTTAGTGCGCACTAGATGCTGATTTAGAGAAATTATTTAAGGACTCTTCCATAAAGATTCTTCTCCTTTTCGCTCTTTAAATACATTAAGGAATACGTTTGAACAAAGCACAAGGCGAACTCTGCAAGACGCAAAGTTTCGTCGCGAGAAAAGTAAATTTCTAGTTATCACGCTAAAGTTGAAATGCTGCTTTTAGTTCACCTTTATTACGGATTATGAATTTTTTAAAAACTACTATATAGTTTGGGGAAATTTTAATAAAATTGTCTATCTTCACATTTATATGACTTTATGCTAATTTTTTATAACATTTTTATTTCTAGTCATCATTTTCGACATCTCATTAGAAAATATTCCGACTAGTAATTCTGCGTTATTATATGACTTCGTTTATGCTAATTTAATTGTATGCATAAAATAGTCGAAATATTTATTATTTTAATTAATTCTCGTATCTACGCTATTGTTTTCGAACATTCAAATTAACATTCAATTAAAATAAAATTTGAATAATAGGAATCCATCCCCCAGAGTATTATTACGAGAAAATCCTACTTCTTAGGCAACACAAATAACATTACACAAAATTCTGACTTTTATGTTCCTCTCTAGTAGTAATTGAGTGTTGCCAATAGCTGTTTTCATGTGTTCTGTGATTAAAATAATAACAACGTTGTAATATTTAATAGTAAGAGGCCCTAAGTATGAGAAGAAGTTACTTTAAAAATACGCATAATAATTGTTTGTTTTGTATAATACTTTATAAAATTGTTAAATTTGAATAGCAAATTTATTGCTAGAAACATAAAATGTTATTGAATTGACAAAATAACTAATATATAATTAAGAAGTTTGACACTTGACATTACATTTTCTTCTTTTTGTTAAATTATTACTTATTATTTTGAAAATATATTATTGTTATTTAACAGAAAAAAAGAAACTCTAGTGAAACATTAATAATATTAATTGAGTTATTAAGATAACTGAAAATGACATTTTCAAACAATCTTAAAGTGTAACTTTCAGACTTGTACATAGTTCAAAAAAGTAAACAAAGCTGCTCTAATAGTCCTTCAATTTGTTATTAACGTAAATTAATGTTTATCTGTAATAGAAATAATTTGAACAATTGAGATTTAGGAATATTGGAATTTCGAAGTAATGTAAGAAAGGTAAATCGCTCAAAGAAGTAAGCTAGGACATACGTTCGTTTAGTTGTCAATGAAAATTCAGTGTTGAAAAATTGTTGTTTTTAAGTAATATGTTGGCAACAATTCTGGTGATTTGCACCGATGAGAATGTCATAAAATGCCGCTAATAAAAACACTAGTTGTTTGGTTTGGTTCTGTTTCTGTTCTATCCGCTTTCGTCGACTGGGCTTGAGTAGAGAGTATGCTGTAAGAGGTGATTAGCCATTTTGCTTTTTGTCTAGAAGCCGGTCACGAAAAAATCAGGAATTCGTCCGAAATTCAGTATTCTATTCACATCAAATCCACTATTAGGTGAATATTTCGAAGCGTTAAACGACCCCAAGACTGAATAAACATCTAAAAACTGCCGAACGTAAGTGACTTTGTTCAGCTTTCGAACACTTACCGTTAGAATTTCACGGTCGAAAAGACCAGCTAACCCGCCGACTTCCAGCATGTCCTCTCAAACGTCGAAGCGAAAGAGGATCCCGACGAAGAAGGTCGCCTCGAAGAAATCGAAGAAGGCCGTCGACATCGACTCTGACTTAAGCGATGGAAGTGGCACCGAAAACAACGTACAACCCGACGAAGTCCTGATAGCCGGCCACGGGGACACCCTCGACGAGACCCCCTTGCCCAAGGAACTGCTCAACACCATCATCAAACCGGCGGGCCAGCTTATCTTCTTCGGCAGCGTCAATTGGGACAGCATGGGAAAGAGGGAGGCCAAGGGTCAGAAAGTACTGCCTAATTTGTACTGGCCTCACCGATTCACCGACCTCAGAGTGAGTTTACTTTTAATTATTCGTTAGGAGGGTTCTCACACCGTGCAATTTATTGCAGCAATAAATAGTTCATATATTGCATTACACAAAATTTATAAGATTTAAAATAATACGATTTTCCAGAATATTAAAAATATTTACTTGAAAAAGTTGCTTAGAATTAAAAGATCTATAGGCAGTTAAAAAAAAGTATCAACTCATGAGACAACCTGTATAGCTGGTGCCCATATAATTTTACGAAATTACATTCCTCGAACCATTTTATCTTTTTAAAAGCCTTGTATATTGAGAAATCTGCATGAAATGGGGACAAAATAGAAATCGATGATTGTATTGATATTATAATAATTTTTGTTTTTATTCTGGATTCGCCAATTCCACGAATATTTATTTATTTTTAAATTTCACACTAATCAATCTGCCTAAATTTGTTTCGCAAGGTCGCAATTTTGATAAGATTAATTCTTTGTTATCCGTTTAAGTATTGTAAAAATAGGAACTCTGATGTTATTGTAATTGCAATATTTTCTAATCAAATTCTATCACATCATTATTTTCTTAATTCCACAATCAGACAATCAGAAACCATCCACCACAATAAAATGATCACCAATATCCCTGTAGTAGCTGTTTGGTAGTTTAAATGCTAGAATAGTTCTTTAGTAGGTCAAATGAACCTAGTAGTTAGATCGAGTAGTTAATTGCAAGAGTAGTTAGTTCGGATCTTGGAGTAGTTCTTAGTTTAAAATACATAATATTTTTATTGTTTTTTTCTAGATTCGTCTCGTAGCCAGCGGTTGCGTAGCAGGCCATTGCATTATGGTAACAGAAGAAGGCAAAGCCATGGCGTTAGGTAGAAACACGCACGGCCAACTCGGTTTAGATGACACCACGACAAGAACGACTCCGATTTTAATACCCGGGTTAGAAAACATGAACATCATAGGTAATTTAATGCGCACCTAATAGACCAGCGAGTCGCTTTTCGTGTAATTAAATTATTTGATAGAAAACTTTTGAATGAATGTAGCCGCAATTAATGGATGATTTTTGTGTTGAAGCCGCTTCCTGTGGTCGACATCATACTCTGTTTTTGACCGACGGAGGGACCGTTTTCGCTTGCGGCGATAACAGATCGGGACAATGCGGCGTTGGGAACCTCCAACCGCAGATTCTGGTGCCCACGAGGATAAATTACCGCGGCCCGCCTATCATTAAGGTACAGTGCAATTGGCTCATCTCCTTAGTAGTAACAGTCTAGTTACTTTTGATTCGGTTCGGTTAGATAAATAGATGATAATTTTCAATGTTGGCGTCTAAAAATTTTGAACTTATTAATGACTGGTTGGGAATGTGTATTCTACTAATTTCTTCCATATTTAGGTCGGAGCAGGGGCCGATTTCTCCATTATACTCGACATCAAGGGCGGCCTGCATTCCTTCGGTTTGCCGGAGTACGGCCAATTGGGCCACAACACCGACGGCAAATACTTCAAAACCAGCACGAAGTTGTGCTTCAATTATCAAACCAGCCCCAAGCGGATCGTGCTCTACATCGAGAAATCGAAAGACGGCCACGTATCGCCCGTGGACGTCACCGAAATCGTCGATTTCAACTGCGGTCAAAACCACACCGTGGCCATCGACAGCAAAAAACGCGCGTTCTCGTGGGGTTTCGGAGGATTCGGTCGCTTGGGTCACGCCGAGCAAAAGGACGAAATGGTGAATGCATTTCACAACATTCATCGAACTAAATTAAACCGTATCAATCTTCTCAGGTACCTCGCCTTATTAAGTATTTCGACAGCCAATCTAGAGGAGTGAGATCGGTTCATTGCGGTTCGACTTACTCACTGGCTGTAACAGAGTTCAACGGTCTATTCATGTTCGGACAGACTAAGAAAACGGGCGAAGCGAACATGTACCCGAAGCCTATCCAAGACTTAGCCGGGTGGAGTATCAAGCACATCGGTACGGGTTTGACTTCCATTATAGTGGCAGCCGATGAGAGCGTAATAGCATGGGGGGCTTCGCCGTGTTTCGGGGAATTGGGGCTGGGCGATATGCAGAAAACCAGTACAACGCCAAAAGAGGTAGTATATTAGGACCCGATGAAATTCTCGCTGATAGTTTTAATGTTTTTTTTTTTTTTTTAAGGTTAATAAGCTCGCAGGCGTGAAGGTGTTGAGTCTCGCCATGGGACTGTGCTTCACTATGATGGTAGCGGCCTGCGAAACGCCGGAGCAGAAGCAGAAACTCGAAAACCTCAAAGAGTACACACCCTAGGTGGTCTATTATCCACCGAGGTACGTAGATTTTAAGCTACTATATGTATTTGTGTCACTAAAAATCATTCTACGTTTGGACAGCTTAACACTATTTAGAGACATTGAAATGAGAAAAAGGCGCGTGTAAGCGTGACGGAAGGATGAACAAATATCGCTGATATCAATTAATTTGTACAATTGACGCTACTAAATAGTTTTTATAATGTTGATGTTCCCGAGATGTGTTTTTATACCTTTTTGTATCTATTAATCCTTTTGTCTATAACATAGTAGGGTGCTTTTTTCTCATTTCAAAGGGCGTCCAAAAATCAACAGGAACTGTTACGTTCATGCAAGTGTAAAAACTACATACAAAAAAGACAACAGGGGTATTATAATATTAATTTTAAGTCCAAAAAAAATTGTATTTAAAGCCACTTAAAAATTACACATTAATCGTTCTTTTGGTTTACGATGTTTATAAAGATTTGGGTAGTTTTTTGAACTTGCGTAGATGAAACGGTGTTTTTGAAAGCACTGCTGTATATTGTAGGGCTGTCGAATTTGACTTATCTAATTTTTCATTTAGGAATAAGACTTGGTGGCGAATCTTTTAGTAATTGATATGTTATCGGTAGATTTGAACTTTTCGACAAAAATGTGACTCTAATATTTGTGCGTATAAAAAATGTGTTTTTTTTTATTAAATATTAAGGTTATTTTTTTGTATGAATACTTATCTACCTCGTATACGAGCTAATTTATTTTTTTTATTAGATTATACATTGCTATTTTCTGTATTTTTTTAAACTTTTGTGAATTTATTTGAACATAAAAATTGGTTAGTATAAATTAAACTCGGAATTATACTATCTATTTACTAGGCGTACTTTTTGTATTTGTTTTAGTGTACCTATACAAAAATAAACGTTTTACAGTATTTTACAAGTTCATAGTCTGTAATAGATTAGGCTATTGCGAAACTATTCTTTTTTTATTTACTTTGTAAGTTCACTATTTTGTAATTTTATTATTAAATACATTCTTATTGATAAAACAAAAAAGTAGGCATTTAATTCAGTTTTATATAACAATAAATTATAAAAAACATTTTTAAATTTAAATAAATTACATTGTAAAAACAATTCTAAGTGCGATTGTATTGAAAGTGAGGAAATTTAACGGCATTTTCTATAAACTTCGAAACGGCTAATAACATTGGCTCGCTCAAGTTTCTCCCCATCAATTGAATACTGAGTGGAAGCCCGTTTTTCGATAGTTTTATTGGTACAGAAATCGCTGGAATACCTGAAATACCAAATACATGTATCAGAAGTCTTTACACATGTAATCAATTTAAATTACCAGCCAAATTTGCAGCCTGCGTGCAATAATCTTCGACCAACCTATGCCTATTGTCCTGTCCTACATAATCTTTGTATAATGGCGCTTCTGTTAATGTCGTCGGTGTTAGTAAAAAATCAACTTCGTTCCAGACGTTATCGAAGTCATTCAATATCAATCTCCTCGACTTAAGAGCCTTGGTAAAATACTTATCGTAGTTACTAAAAAAAATACAGTAATTACCCCTGGCCTACAATTAGTATACATTACCTCACCTGGCCAATAAAAAATAATTACCGGCCAATATTCTACCTTTTACGACTTCGTCAAAACCTAATCTACGTGTGGTCGAGTATAATTTTTCAGTCGAATAATCTTCTCTAGCACGAAGTCCAAATTCAATTCCATCATACCGGGCCATGTTGCTAGTTACCTCGCATTGATTTAAAATTGAATACACTACAATGCTGTATTCGGTATGAGGCAAAGACACCTTTTTAGAGAAATTCCAACTCATTGTTAATAAATACATTTATAATTATTAAATTATATGCTAACCCGGTATTGATTGAAACATAAGAAACATCAAAATCTAATTGATATGAGTTGAATGAAACAAAATGAAGAGTATCTCGGCCATTTAAGTATGGTAAAAATTCATCTTTTAAGTGCTTTGAAGAGGAACCCGGGTTAGCTTTAGCCCAAACTTACTGGTTTTATTATGGCGCCTTCACTTTTCAACATCGAGGCAATATCATTCCATACATTCGCTACTTCTTCACTTAAATATTCAACATTATATTCCAGAGGTATGCCTATTTTAATACCATTAATTTTCATTTTAGAAGCAGGCGGTAACCTAAACAAGTAATTTTTTTATCCTAATCAGCATTTAAACTTGTAAAATAAGTACCTAATTTTTTTAAACGGTTTTGTAAGGGATGTCGAATCCTTCTCATCGAATCCAGCTATTGTATTTAACACGCTAACCGTATCATCGACAGTTCTCGTTAAAATTCCAACAACATCCATTGAATTCACTAAAGGAATCAGACCTAATCGAGAAATTAGGCCGTACGTAGGTTTTAAACCTATAACACCACAATAGGAAGCTGGATTTCGCACAGAACCTCCTGTATCGGATCCTAAACAACTAAAAAACATGGGTCAAGTGTTGGAAACATCCCCTCGTATTAGTGTAATTTTTCTACTCACGCGAAACAAGCACCAGTAGCAACAGCTACAGCGCTGCCGCCGCTGCTTCCTCCAGCAATATAAAAATTATCGTCGTCTTTACATCCCCAGTTGTTTTTCGTAACGCCGTATATCGAGTTTATTGTTCCGGAACCCATGGCGAATTGATCTAAATTTGTTTTGCCTATTAGTATTGCACCTGCGTCTAAAAATCTTTGGTATGCTGTTGCATTGTATGGTGGTTTAAAATTCTCTAGCATTTTCGAAGCGCACGTTGTGCTTATGCCTTTTGTACAGAAATTGTCCTTAATTCCGATAATCACACCGTCCATGTCGGATAAGGGTTGTCCATTTTTGTAACGCTTTTCCGATTGTTTTGCTAGTTCTTCCGCCTCGTTTCCAGTTACTGTTATGAAGGCTTTCAGATTTTCCGTTTCTTTTATTCTCTTCAGAGACTCGCGAACGAAGTCGCTGGTTTTCACTGTTCCTTCGGTTAATAGACGTGAAACCTGAAAAACGATTCGGTATATCACGGATTATTTATGAAAGGTTTGTAATTACTGTTCGAATATTTGTATTTAGAATCTTGTCCATGTTTACTCTATTTATTAAAGTCGGTTAATTAGCTCTTCTAATATGTAATAATTGTTTAGGAATTTAAAAATCTAAGTAAACATAACCTCAAAGGTTCTTCTTTTTACAAAATTGTTATATTGACATTTACTTAAATCTGCAAGAGGCCATAACAATTCAGAATAAAAATTAAAAATATATTTTTTTTTCTTTTTCGCTCGTATTTTCTTAAATATAATTATATTTTTGCGTTATTTGTACAAAAATTCACATTTTTATAAACTGTTCACAGAATTGTGCCGCTTTCTTTTGAGTTTTCCAGCCCTCTTTTCGGAAACGGTTTTTTCGAAATCCAACTTTTCCTCTTTTTCCACCACCGTCTTCAATTCTTGCAATGATTCTCGATATTTCTCAGCTAATGGTTCCAAATCTTCCTCGGGAATCACCAACTGTAACAAATTTATTATTAATTTCCAAAATCTCTAAACATTACATCTCTTTTAATAAACTTTTATATAAAAAATTACCTCATTGACATCAGTCTTATTAGCCTGATTTAAAAGCGACTTGAACTTGCCCAGTTGTGTTTTACTCAGCAAAGTTATAGCTGAACCGGTCGAGCCAGCTCGAGCAGTCCTGCCCGCTCGATGAATGTATGTTCTCAGGTATTTTGGAGCCGAATAAGATATTACACATTCTACGTTAGGCAAATCGATTCCTCTTGCTAAAGCATCAGTGCAAACCAATCTAAAAAGTTCCTGATGTTAGTATTATAATCATTTTTATAATTTAGTTAATACTTACAAATCAACAAGACCGTTTGAGAATCCATCGATTAGTTTAGTTCTACCTTTTCCCTGTAAATTCGAGGAAATCTCCTCGATTTTCAAATCGTCTTTGAACAAAGCTTTCAATAGAATGGCCAATCTATGCGAACTTTCTACGGAGTGGGTAAAAACTATCGATTTCCTTAATTTCTGCAGTTTTATCAGCTTGTACAAGCACAAAGGTTTCACGTCTAAATCAGTGATTACATATTGTTCGACCAATTCCTTAGGAGTCGTAAATTTGCTTAATAATGCCCCTTTGTCAGTGGCATTTTGATCATTTTCATTCTCCACTATCGAAGCAAACAATTTCGGCTGGAATAAGGAGAGCTGCTGAAGCTTTTCTGGATCTTGGGAAAGTGTAGCGGAAAATAAGAGTTTCTGTGGCGGCCTGGGTCTTCTCAATTGTTGTATATTCAACATTTTCCCAGCTTGAGAATCGACTTCTACAAATAAAAATCTTGTTCGCTTAATCACATTCATCATGTGATTAGATCAAAACAAACCTTGCCGATTAATGTGGTTTTCTAAATGATACAACCAATCATTTTGCATATTTTCTAGGACTCGATCGGCTTCATCGATTATCAGAAACTCCAAATGCTTCAAGTCGAAACCTTCCGTTAGTTTTAAATGATCGACTAATCTACCTGCAGTACAAACTAGTATATCCGCTTTACTTACAATACCAAATAATTTATCTAAAAAACAAAACGAATTAATTGATTGTACTCATAATTAATCGGTAATTCACTTACTTTGTACGACTAACTGACTTTGTTCCACAGCAAACGAATTGTTACCCGTAATCAAACAAACATCTATGCTGGTATTTTGACTGTACGTTTTAAAAGCTTTGGAAACTTGTGTAGCCAAATCTTGAGTAGGCACAATAACCAAAGCTCTGATCTTCTTTACTGTATATTTTTTTAAAGCTTGCACTACAGGTAGTACATAAGCCAAGGTTTTTCCGCTACCGGTTGGTGCAGAAACGCAAATGTCTCTAGGAAATAGCACATCAGAATGTTTGTAAGAGTCCAGCAGATAAGGAATCACTTCAGCTTGGACTGGGAAAAAGTGTTTAATGTTGTTCGATTTTAGTAGTTTCCGCAAACTTTTATCCAGCTGCTTAACATCTGATATTTTAGTTTTTAAGTCTTGTAGATCAACTGATATGATAGTAGGAGATGTGAGCCAGGATGGAAGCACTCTTTTCACCTAAAATATACATTATTTGTTGTAATATAACGATAAAAAGTTTTGTTGAATTACCTTAAGTTTGTTGGCGAAATTTTGAGTACCCAAAACGGTGAACCCTTCGAGTTTTTGTGAATTAATTTCAGGTTTATCATTGTCTTTAACTTCATTTTGTGAACTTTGAGTCTCGAGAAGTTTCTCAATGTTTGAATCAATGAAATCATTTGAGGTGTTTTCGGGAACTGCAACGATTGTAGATTTAATTCTTCGTTTAATTTCTCTGTTTTCCAACGTTCTACGTTTCGCTTCTTTCGCTTTGTGTATTTTCTCTTTCTGTTTTTGCCGCAATTTCTTATTTTTTTCTATTTTCTTTAAGACATTGTCCAATTTTAAACGTTCATCGGTTTCGGTTTCGACCGGTTCTTTCGCTTCATCTCCTTCATGCCTGCGAAATAATACATTCAATACGTTCTAAAATTATATATTTTTTGTTACATTTACCTGTTTATCACAAATAATTCCATTAAAACGAGTTTTTCGGTAATTGGAAAGTCAACAAGTATAAACTTTGTTTTGTAATTTGTATAACCTCAAAATTCCATGTGTTATACGTCTTCCATCATAATTCATAACAATGGCCTCTGCTATAGGGAATAAACAGTTCATATTTAGATTCTTCATCATAGAGAAAGAAAGATGAGAGAGTTCGATCCTTTACTAAAAATTGGCATAACGTTGACGGTGCTGCCTCTCATCGGATAGCAACATTTTTCGCGAACTAAGCGTAGATTCCTTCTATATTTAAAACAAAAATTGGCGGAAAATTTAAAATTAATTTTTGTAATTCTACTCTATTTTCTTACATTTGACAATTGTGTAGTCATTTAATAGCCGTTTATCAAGCATAAAAAACGGCTATCAAATGCATACACAATTAACAAATTGAAATATTTAAAATACAATTAAAAAATAATATTAAAAGTGTTTCATGTGAAATTTTATTAAAAATTATGCACATTACAATTAGTACATCCTTAATTAATGAAATAAAATACATTGATATAAAGACAATCATATAAACTATTAAGTATAAATTATATAAAATAGAAATGTGGTAACCATTGGAATTAAATAAATAGAAAATTTAAATAAATAATAACAAAAACAAATATAAACATAAAACGAATATAAATAATAAAAAATAACTATTATTTAAAGGAAAAATCACAGTCATATCACAGAAGTTACGAAAGGATACACTAAATTTAAATAAAATTGTTAGTAAAATTGTGGTTATTAAAAAATCTAATTGTACAACAAGACAGTTGGTCGGATCTTCAGCTCTCAGGGCCTACAGCTTCTTATATTGCATGTAATCTAAAACAAAAAAAAAATATCAGCAGCATCGAATTCAGGGAAAATAGCGAAGAGTGATAAATGTGTTTCGAGTGCTAAAGAAAAAGCAAATTTATTTAGACGTGATTTCAAAGTGCTAGTGAAACTATTATCATGAAAATGTACTTCACAAAGCCTCAGCTGTTTAGATGTATGGGACAAACCTAAAATATCGAACCACCTTTTTTCCGCACAATATCGGAAGGAAATTTAAAAAAAATGCTTTTGAAGATTTTTATCCGAAGAAGTAAAAAAACAAGCTATTGCACCTTGGTGATGCACATTTATGAACCTTTCTTCGCATTAGGGTTGACATTTTAAATAAGCAAACACAATTAGAAATAAAAAATATAAAAACTTACCAACTTAGGTTATACACAATAATGGCGTCTACACTAGTTACGAATCACGAAACAATCTAAAAAATAAAACTCGACTCGACTGTCGACAAGAACGGCACAGAACGGTATTAATTTTCGATAGCAGCGCCTCTCGAAGGATAGTAGGGAATTATCGCGTGGTCTGATATTTCCTATGCTTTAAACAGTCTCTTTTATTTTGTCTATATTCTTCATTTTGTTAATATAAAGTTAATCTAAAGCGCTTTTTGAAAGTAGCGCTCTACTAGTAGGATTTTTCAACGCTTTATATTTTTTAAATGAGTGAATTTTTAAACTTAAATTAATAAAAATGTTGTTATAATTGTGTCTGTATATGTGTATGGTTTTAGATCATAATGTAAGTAGACAAATGACAACTACGTTTGACGCTGACATTTGACATTGACATTACTCATTAAATTTGCACAATAGTAAATTGAAGACGCATTATTTTGGTGTTATTATTAATTTTATAATATTGCAACAAAATGGGTAAAGGTTTCAATAATTACATGTGCAAGAAATTCTTCCATCCGGCATCCCGAGACAACCTAAAGAGAGTAAGTACAACAACTCAACAATCATTCACATCACTAAACTTTTCATTTCTTTACTTACAGGTATGGATGGCAGAACAGAAAGCAGATGCTTACAAAAAGAAACAGGAAGAGCTGCGCCAGCAGTACGAAAAAGAACAAGACCTGCACGACAACAAGGCCATGCTGAGCAAAGAGAGCAAAGACAAGCTGAGCGTGAGCTTCATGTACGAACCCCCGCCCGGTGCTAGGAAAGAAAGAGAACGCGAAGACGACGAGCCCGAGTACAAATTCGAATGGCAGAGGAAATACAACGCTCCCAGGGAGAGCTACTGCAAAGGGGATCAGGAGATTAGGGATCAACCGTTCGGGATACAAGTGAGGAACGTTCGATGCATTAAATGCCATAAATGGGGTCATATTAATACAGGTGAGTGAATATTTTGATACCCTACTAAGACATCCTGTTTTGACATTTTTGTACTTTTCAGATAAGGAATGTCCGATGTACAGTCTTTCTATGAGTGCTGCAAGATCTTTGGAAAATGCTACGGCTATGGATCAAAATTCTTTAGTACTGCAAATGTTAGATGATGGATTAGCACTTAAGAAACAACACGTGAATACTGTTGAAGCCAATAAACATCTCTTAGTGAGCGAAGATGAGGAAGCAAATGAAGAAACATCTTTTTTAAAATCGCTCACAAAGAAGCAGAAGAAAGCTTTATTAAGGTAAGAGTATCTGCGTAAATATGTATGTACTTGATAGCACTTGTACGATAAGTAGATAAAAGGTACTTAAGGTTACTTTTTTGTTTTCAGGAAATTGGAAAAGTTGGAAAAGGAACCAGAGAAGAAGGAGAAACGAAAAGATGAAAGTGAAGATTCGTCGGATGACGATAGAAAATCCAGCAAAAATGGGAAAAGATTTAAAGCAAAAAATCGTAACAAAAACGATTCAAATAACGAAAGGTATAAGAGTAGAAGAGATAGGAAAAGATCCAGTAGCGAGGAAAGGCATAATTCTTCGAAAAGAAGGCGTTAATAAATTTATTTTTCGTAATTTAATAAGCAGTAACTAATTATAAGCGATTTAATCTTTTGTTGTTAATAAATTTCTACAGGAAATTGTATTTATTTTGTTTTATTCATCAATTTAGAAGCACCCTGTATGATAAATTTCACGACCATATCTCTTATTACATATACTGCTTCTACATATTGAAAATCGTTTTTCATTAGGCCTGTATATTACCCTTATCACAACGATCAATAATATTTACATAACGATGTTGATAGAACGACAATATTGAGTTTAAACCTGATACACTTGATTTACAATTTATTACACACAAAAAACAAAAATAATACGCTCTTTTTATAAGCCTATAATGATAAAAATGAACATCACGGCGCCAACGTCGACGGCGAAATTGAATTTTGATTACCTATCTTATTATAATATTTACTCTAATAATCTGATTTGCGAACCAGAAATTATAAACGGGAGAGCAACACAAAGTGTTCCGGTGATTTCGAAAATAGATTGGTATTTGGACATATCGTGTCAAATGAGCGGAGATAAATTTACTACATTGATAAACAACATAATAACATAAAATTTGTGGCAAATTATTTTTTTTTGAGAAATTGAGCATTAATTACCTTTACTCAAAAGTTTATATAAGAATAGGGTGCCGGTCTACCCTACCGCATCTGGTTTAGTATGCGGTCTACCCAAATTTATTTTATACAAAGTTTAACAGAAGTTAAAAGTAATCAAAAAAACCCTGTAACTTGTACTAAGAAAATTACCCTTTCGATTCCATAAATAAAGTAGGAACAATAATTCCTACCAATTGAATATTCTTCCTTAAATTCGACCCATATATCTTATTTATTAATCATTAAAGAGAAAAATAGGAATAAGTATTCAAAACATCCTGTATAGATGTATATGATCTATTAATACCTAGCCAAAAAAACCGTAAATCGATTTTAATGTGGCGAAAATTCGCCGACGTAATATAAATAATCTCATTGAATTCAAAGTAAATAAAACAGATTCGTTTTCAGAGTGCCCAAATTGCTGCGATGTAATTGCATTCCCGCATCAGCACGATTTCTGTTGAACTGAAAACATTAACTATGCTTACATGCTATTCCCTGGCGAATTCTGTTCGAATATCTGTCGATTTCACCACATTTTACTATTGAAATCCAGTCGTATTATGTACATTCTTGACATACGTACCTATATGCTTGTTGAATTTTCATTTACCTGGAAGCATTTGCTTGAAAAACATTTTGAATCCATGAATTTTTGAATAACAATTTTCCAATCTTCATAAATTATGTTAATTAAGTTATAGCGAAATTTTATTATTAAATTCTGCTACAAATTTTAATCAATATTGGCAATTTTCTTTTATAAAGATTGATTATTAAGGTTGGTATAAAATAAAAAATATACAAAAAATATCGCCTTATTCATTAACGTTTTTTTTAAAGACTTCCAAAGACTTTTATTCTCTTAAATTCCCTATTTTACTTTTCTATTTAAAATGAAGTGAAAGCCCTAAAAAATGATTTTCAAGAAGCAAAGAGTTTACGATTTCCATATTTTAAATTTCCTCCGTGGAGGAAGAAAGCTACAAAAATCGCGTTTTTACTCCGATATTGCGGAGGAACGACGTTATCCCGCGATACACCCATTGTCGGGAACGTCACTATTTCATTGCAAATTCTATTAAACTCGACATGGGAAATTTACGTTTAATAAACGAAACGTCGGAAGGGCAGTTAAGCGAGAAAAATAGAGAAAAACGGCATTATTTTAAAGTTGGATAGACCCTACACACAATTAGGCCCGGAATTATTAATGGGATTGTATGCATAAATAAGTACATACAAATAAAAGATTAGTTTCGGCGTCCTTAAATACATACAGGTACGAAAAATTTTTATAGCATAAAGGGGCTTAATTAATTATGAAGTACACGAAAATTCTTTAATTTCAATTTACTTTTAATAAAGTAATTTCGCTACTAGCGCAAACTTGGAAATGAACGTTACACAACTTTTCCTATTATTATATTTGAATTTCGGGGCCTCATTCACCAACGAACAAGTTAAATAGTTGTTTTCTAATTTGCGCGATTCCTTAATTTGTTCAAACGTGTTTTCAGGACTCAATTTTAGCCGGATAATTAAATTCCTAAAGTAAACTTCCCGATTTTTTTCTCCTCTTCCAATTATCACATTCAACCTTCTCGACCGAAGATAAAACTAGAAAAAAACTGTAAATTTCCTTAAACTAAAACTTTTAATTAACTCTATTAAAGCGCAATCTACATCAGAAAAAGTGTCGAAGTACTCTATAAAAATTTTTAATGAGGTAGATTGAAGATAATCATACGTCTAAAATACGAGCTTGTTTTCATAATGCCCAAGGGAGAAGAACTTATTTATTTCCTTCATGTTTCCTGCACAACAACAGAGTGAAAAAGGAAAATAAATCTCACGAGGAATTGTTTTGTCAGTTGTCTCAAGATCATTTAAGAGTGATGTCAACAACGTTTGTTATCTACTATTTATAACTATTATTTATTTGTAGATGTACATACAGATTGAAGCTTTAATTTCCTCAAAGCTCAGGGACTTTGTACAAATTTTCATGAAAAAATGTTCACAAAAAGCCCTTCTGTAGTTGCTTTACTTTGAACTTTTGCATTCAATAAGTACCATCCTAGTATAGTCTTAAGCTATAAGGTATATCCCAAATCCTTTTAGAGACATTCTCTATAAAAATATACGAGTATAGTTAATTCGCTGTCTCCTCAAACGTCCAGCGTCGTGAATCTTGTAAATATAAAGCGAGTATTTCTGAGACAGCTAATGCACTTTTCCCTTTAGAAACGACAGCTCGACCATCAGACATGCGAAAATGCAGCGTACCCGAGCGCATTCTTGGCAAAAAAACTTCGACCCTTATCCATCAAGTTGCGAACAAAGGGAAAGGGCGTGCGCGAAACTTTCTACGGTTTTCGAAACGGTTTTCACGCCGAGCGTTTTCAACAGTGTTTTCCCGCTCAGATCCAAGGAAAGCCGGGAAAATCACGCGCTTGTGGAGAGTAGCTCCGATTATCGTGCGTTTCTCGTAAAATATTAATCTAATCAACGGTGAGTTAGTTTTGTCGTTATTTCTAGATTTAGTAGGATATAATTGATGTTTATTCGCTTAATCTGTATAGTAGGTATACATTAAATATCTAATGGATTTTTGGTATGTTTTTTTTGTGGTTAATAATTCAATAATTAATGTGCCATAAAATTGAATTGTGGGGAAAGATACTAAATAATTTTAATATAAAATGAAATACTTATTTTTCATCAAAAATATTATACCAACAAAAATTTGAATAAAACCTAACTAATTTCTAATTAAACAAATTTCTTTTGTAATTGTTTCATTGCATACACATCTGTTAATGATCCATTAAAGAATAATGTCCACAATCACTTAATACAAGTGAAAAGTAATTTGTTATTTTTACAAATTATTTATAGGGAATTATTTCATACTCTTGAATATAAATATTGTGTAAGATAAAAACGTCGGTAATTTTGATTACAAAGATTAAAATTGTTAATAACTCGTGTAATCTGCTTTGTTATTAAATAGATAATGCATAGTTTACTACTAAATTCATATGAGCGCATATCAAATAGTTCAATATCACCGGAAAATATCGCCTTTCAGGCAAATCCAGGAATGTTCTAATCCTGTTATTAAATTTTATGAAATTAATTTATATTGGTTACTACAAAAGAAGTTCATTCCTCGGATCAGTTCATAATAAAACATTTTTAATAAAATTTTAAAATCCTTTTAAAGCACTTTAAATAACTGGGTTAGGTAGACCAAATGAAATTTTTGCATTTGGAAACCTTGACGAGGATGAACATGAACTTTTATTGATGAAACTACCTTGATAATATCCTAAATCCCGAGTGCTTGAATGGGTGCACGCGAAATGCAATACAACTATACACTATAGGCACCGAACTACTTACATTATAAAATCTATCTAGATTTTCCAAAAATTAGTAAATACCTACAACACGTAAAACTCTCGAAATAATCATTTATACCTAGTAAAACTTAAAAGTTCTTAAAGTTTATATTTTGGGATCCCTTCGGATGGAGCTTTAACATTTCCTTTGTTAGGAGAACAGAATATGTAAAAGTTGGCTTTTATATGTAGTAAAATATTCCCTCGAAGAGCTATTTTAACTCAGACGATAACAACCCGTATAGAAGGCAGTTTCAATAGGAAACCTACGTAACTATAATCCTCAATGATGGTACAAGTAATGTAGGCAATTTTTAAAAATATACTTGAGTTACGAGATAAATTTTCGTTCATTTTTCTGTACAAACTATCCGCCTTTTAAGACGGTTCAATCTTGATTAAATTTTCAAAAACTCTCCTCCCACCTTCATAGAATTAATTATTATTACTGGATAGTTCATCGAATTAATTACTCAACAAGATTCGCGCTGCGATAGCCCAAAGAAGTTAACAAAGTACAAAGACATCCCGATAATTAATGAAAGTTGGCAATCAAAATATTTTAACTTAAAGTCTTCAGCAAATCCCTGTAATTAAATTGGGTACGTCGTAAAACCCGTTCATAAAACTATCTTGCAATTTCTTTTCGACAACAGAGATGGGTGTATTCTCTTGATTTTAATACGCCGGAAGTTCTATTAATTGCGACAGTTTTGATACAGGGTGAAAGAAAAAAAATGAAATGGGGAAAGTGGAAGTAATTAATACAAGAAATATTTTGATTAAAGGATAATGAAATAAGCCAATAGAACCGAAGCCTAAATTAAGTTGGGCTGATTACGAGCGCCTCTAATTCCTCTCCTGTCGCAGCCCTTTTTACCACAGGGATATACGGAATACCGTCTACTAAGGTTGAGAAATAGAATTGAGTATTCTAATGATAAAATTCCATTACTTAAAACACGTTACATAGAAGCGAAATTGTATTCGAACGGCTGATTTAGTACCGCCCTTATTGGGTAACGTAACGCGTAGTAACGGCAGAAACGCACGGGAACTGAATTAAAAGAAAATTAAGATTGATCAAGAATGCCGTGTCACAGTGGCATTTACCATTTTCATTCCGCTTTTTTTTTACTTCCACTGTCTATTTTAAATGCGTAACGCGACGTGGTCAGACGGCGTCATTCCCGAGAAGCATATCGATGTAATGCATTATTTACAGCTGCGATTCGAGTGCAATTTGCAAAAAATAATCCAGATTTAAGTGCATAAATGACTCCTTTAATGGATTCAGAACTCTTCGTAAAAGAATTACATCAGTTCAGAACGATTTACTACGCTTCAGGACTATTCAAAACAGTTCAGAACGATTTAGAGTGTTATCCGGACGAATCAGAACTCTTCATGGAAAAATTACAACAGTTTAATTTAAGAACGATTTAATAAAAACTCCGGGCGATTCATAAGTCATCATAAACGAATTACAACAGTTCAGAACACTTTGCAACGTTTCAGGATGATTCAAAACAGTTCAGAACGATTTAAAATAATGTCTGGACGATTCAAAAACTTTTCATGAAAGAATTACAGCAGTTTATCATGATGAAAATTCTACGTGACAATTCTAGAACTTCTCAATTTAACACCTCAGTTGAGTCTCGATCAACTTATGAATATTTCTGCTCTGACGAATCGGCTTTGAGCACACCATTCAATCACGTAGGTGATTCTTCGAGCGATTCTCGTAATGCATTCAAAATGCGACTAGCTGCAAGGTTGTAAAGTTCAAAAATAATTCATCCCGGAGATCAAAGCGAGATGTCCCTGGATTTTACTGTAACCATATTGAAAAGGTTTACTAAAACATGAAATGGCGGTGCACACATAAATGTTTCAACACAAATGAATAAAATTTAAGTTAAAAAAGCTTTAACTTCGAACAGCGACTTCAATTTAAACTCCAATTGTACATACCTAATGACCCACTTGCAATTTCCTTGAGCATGATTGATAAGTACACCTATTATAGCCCCTTTCTTGTTAAGCAATATTCTATTTGAAAAGGGCATTATATTAAAACGACGAATAATTGGAATTTACAACTTAATTAACTTGAAATTACTTTGCTTTAGCGGGAGCGATGCAAATTAATGAGAACATTCGACTCACCATTGAAACTTCGAATATAAAAGCCTGTATAGTATAATATGTTCAAGTAAATTAGGTTCTGACGTCACTTTTAGTTATATCAATAAACTTTTATCTTAAATATTACAGTTCGTGATGTCATCACCAGATTAATTTGAGCGTAATATAACAAAAAGAGTTAATACGTATTTATTGCAAAAGAGCTATTAAAATGATATTCTGTAGGTATAAAGATTTTCAACTCGTTCAAGAGACTTTATACATTTAATACATTAATTTAAATTTAATTTAATACATTTAATTTAGCATTCTACCGTTTAAAATTAAATTGTTGTCGGAAATGTGAAAATTTAATCACCTCTACAAGCTATTGAAGTTGTTTAATTCAGCTACACTGAATATTTTAATTTGATTTTTCAATTGGCAGTTTCTATAGGTCTGCACAGGGATTTGTATCCTCCATTTTTAAAAATACAATAGTTCTCTACGAAAAATTAACATGAAATTTGTTGTTGGCGATTTATTGCTGCATGCAGTTCATTAGGTATCCGTACTTTCCGGGATTCAACCTCTACATCATCGTAGAAATGTATCCCTGGAACTTTTTAGAGCGTTCTTGAAAGTTCCAGCGAAAGGAAAAATTACAAGATGCTGGCCGGCTAGTGTACGGGAAAGTTTTAGTATCGCGTAATAAAAATTTGTGAACCAAATGCCGTTTTTAAAATCGAAATCTGCAGAAAATGACGTTACCGCTTTTGTAACTTTCCGAAGCCTCATAGCAAATACAAAAGTTTCGGACTAGGAGTTACCTCATCAAAAACGTGTCGCGCGTTATAGACTGCACGACAAGAATACAGTCTCATGGAACTTTGATTAAAGCACGAGAAGAATATTGTTTTGTGTTAGAAATACCGAATTTACTTCAATGTAACCGATGTTTTTTGTGCAATCCAATTGGCTTTCTGCGACATTTTATATAGACCTTTATATTCGTAAAAATTCCTCTACTGCGTGTATTACAAAATAGTTTTCTCGGTAAAAAGCGTATTTTCCATGCAAGGAACTACTTCCGGTATGAAAGTAATTTACATATTTCCATATTTACATTTTTCCCGAAACCGGAGTAGAAATTCCACGTCGATGTCTGTCTTTTGAGACTCTTGTAGGAATCAAATCGATTCTGCATTTTTAGAGATTGCTCGGGGACGTCGCTCGAGTCCCATGAAAACCATCACGAAATTTCAGATTCATTCGGGATTATTGCATTACAGGAAATAACGAGGAAATTAGACAACCAAATTAATTTCATTGTGGTTGATTATCAACGGTCAAGGGATTGTTTTTTGAAATATGGAAATTGAAGATAGGTATCATATAATGTATACGTTTAGAAAATTTAATGATGTTTTGCATACTATGTTTAATTTTAAATTTAATAGCCTAACATATTTAAAAAGTATGTATGAAAATGTAACATCATGTTTCTCGTATATCATTTAATTTATAAAACATTATTTGCGTTGTAAATCTAAATATAGAGTTACGAAGGCTTGATAAATTACATAAATAAGACATACATTACACGTTTTATAATTAGGGGATTTCAAAAGTTCATAATTACTGAGACGCGTTCATTTACATGATATATGAATTATTCATGGGTATGTTCCCTAATATCTCATCTCTTCGCATATTGTAATTAATAATAATTAACATTGACCATTTTGAATTAACTTATCTCACCCGATATGTCTGTTATGCGAATTCACGTGTAAACAGCCAGACGAAATTAGTAGAATGTTTATAATAATAATATTAATAGTAAGAGTTTCTTTAATAGTAATAATACTGTGAATTATTTAATATCTAATAGTTAGAATGAAACTTCTCGAGTTATTTTAACCTACCTACGTGTAGATGTGACTTAAAATCTAGAATCGTGAGTGATTGAAATAG